TCTTGTAGTCATTATTTGATGGCCTCGACTCAAGGGTCCGGGAATACAAGGGATTACAAGCATGTTAGCGCATATTCATACATGCGTCCGTAACTTGCATACCATTCTCATTCATCGTCTAACTTCCCCGCCCTTTCCATCATGTGACAACAGTAAAGACCGTTTTCGCCCATTGTCTGATCTCAGTCATTCAAACCCGGCATTTCCATGACAAGATTCCCACCAATCGACCTGGCAGTAGCCTGTCCAGGACCTCGCTGCCCGGGAGACTTGGAGTCAACTCGTATGTCCCGCGACGCCTTGCGACATATCGCAGAACACGATAACAGTCATGACTACCAATATTGCTGGGGCTATGCTATCTTCCGCACTGTATATACGCCCGGTTCCGATGAGGTCATAGCAATCGCCGTCGACCGGCTAGCCATTTATGCGAAGCTTTTTACTCAGGAGCGCCAAATTCATCCAAGGGTGCCAGGAGCCGCGATGGCATTCAACATCCGCCCAATTGAAGAGCTCTGGAGCCGCTACTATTGTGAGCTGGTACAGGACGAACAGACTCTGTCCGATGCGACTGAGAGTGATGTCGGGGACAGCTTCGATATCTGGATTAGGCAACACCGCCGTCCTACGACTAGCAGTGTCCCGGAACGCAATAGCAGGTTCAATTTCTGCCTAATGCTGGACGAGGAGAGCCTCGAAAATATTCTTGCCATGCCAGAGGATCCTTACGCCCCGGCCAATAGTATTGCTCGTAGCGAGGGCGAGGGCTGGGTCAAGCTTGTCTCGAACAGAATGCGGTCCGAAGACGAGGGAGGCGGCGGCAGGTATTGGTTAAGAGTCGGAATTAGGGATTTCTTATGGCCTGTGTGGTTCTTCCCCTCTGACTCGGATATCCTGATTGAGGAGATGGGTTGGTGTGATGCAGAGGATGGAGTACAAAACCTCTGGGGCACGCCTGATGACTGGTTTACGGAGATTATGGCAGCTCCGTCCGGCAGTCAAGCCGAATGACAATGTGACACTCCAAATTATACTTTTTTGCTTCCAAGTTGATCCACAGATTTCTTTCCTCTCCACTTACCTCGACAGGTCGTCCGATACGATTTCCGGCAAGAGGCAGGTAGTAGTATACAAGTCGCCCTCGTTCATCCCATCAATGGCTGTTGGAGTTATCGGTATCCTTACTGGATCGTGGGTATATCCTGTTCCAAGACTTGTTCGAGAGTTGACTTCATGTTGTCGCCAGCGCTGACAGGCCCACCTCATAAGTCTTACCCTTTCTATAGCGCAGCACACAGAATATTGCCGAAGATACAAATGAGATTTTCCGGTTTGACTGTTAAACAACCTCTAATAACGTACTAATAAAGCCTTTTACCATGCTAGAAGCAGTAAGACCCACGCTGCTATTTTTCTATCTAGCTTAGAGGTTTTCTCCGACAAGCCTGAATGGCTAGTGTCTAGTTTGAACAACCTAGTCAACCTCAAGTTCTCGGAGGGACAAACACCATGATAGTGTCACACAGGCGCAAACTGCTTTAATCTCGTTGGCATTACTGTAAACACTGAAGATATCTTGATGATAGGTTGCGTTCAGGCCTGGATACCTTGGTACCAAATAAGCACTTAACCACATGGTTAAAAGCTTATAATACCTGACTAGCCTTGGACTGTATTGCAAAGTTCAATTGATTTATTTCTCAACACTGCCTATTGCGAATGAAGTATGCGGCACATTTGTCCAATTTTGCCCTCGTGGCTTATTGTAGCAGTCCCTCAAGATAACCTGTTTTTGTGAGATGCACAGTGAATCGCGACGGGAGAAAGAACTAAGCAAAGTCGGGCAAGGGAGTCAAGCAAAACGATGAGAAAAAACAAATGCAACGTCACCCGTGTGGGCATCTTTGACGCCGTGCACCGTTTTGTTCATGAAGTATCGGCAGTCTTGGGTTTGTTGACAAGACCACCCGACAACTGGCACTGCCTGTGGCACTACATGGGCAAGGCGAAGACAAGTGAACAGGTCAAGCTGTCCGTTGTACATTGGCTTGTGATCAGAAGCTTTGAGCCGAATGCTTAAAAGGTTTGTCACCTTTGTTGTCCATCGCGCCATCCACCTTCGCCACGACATGCAAGCCAGTTTGCCCAGCAGACGACATCGACCCTCGTTCAAGATCACGAGGAAGTCGACTGTGCGGATCCAGAGGTTCATGCTATATTCTCGAAGCCCACAGGCTGCAAATTCCGAACCAGGCCGCGGTGCATGCAGGCAGGGGTCCTTTTCATCACCTTCCTAGGTATCCTACAGTGACCCCTGAATGCCGCGAATCAGCATCAAATGGCCGCCACAAGCCGGCAGCAGAACCCGAGGCCACGGGGATAGCCGTGCCTAGGCGTGATGCCATTGCTTTTTGTAAGAAGGTCATTATGAGTGATGCGAGATTGCCGCTGTGCTGAATATCATCGCCTTAGGTGCAGGCCTTGTTGCTCAGCCTTTTGCGGGCGCTATGGGTCCGCTCTTCAAGGACAAACCATCGTAAGGGGCAATGCTGGCTAGTGAGCAAGTTTTGATTCCACAGTACCCTACCGGGAGGATGCCCCGACGATCTGTCTTGGTCAAGGGGGGCCCTGCAGTGAGGGACTGACTAGGGCGTATGCGGCACAGGCGCCGCCACAGCGTGCTAGAAACGGCATTTGATCGGCACATGGCAGACGATGGCCAAGCGAGAGGCTCGTCGGTGGGGCACACCTCCTTTGGACGACAGGTGCTGGACCACCTGCCGGGGTTTTGACCAGGTAGGTATATGTACAGCCGCTCATTCCCTGGCGACCACCATGACCAACCGCCCAACGCGCATCGTGCCACCGCCGACAAGGGTCAGACATTGTCGGTTAAAATTGTGGTGTATCTGGCAAAAGTTTGACGATGGTGCATATGCTGGCGGGTCGACGATACGATTTGTCGTGTCGTGAAGCGTGGACTCGATGGTTGAAGGCTAAAGTTGGGATGCCTACAAATACCTCGGTAGGTACTTGAGGTGAGGTACCTTACCTAGGTACCTTACCTAGGGATGACCAGCCTGAGCTGTCGGCCCTTCCTCAGGGTCGTCATTAATGTCTTACAATTCTGCGGTGCACTCAGGGGCAGCATTGCATAAACTTTCCATGTCTGCACTGCACGCCACCTGTCACTCGTGGCTTCCAGTTGTTCGCCCTCTCAGCTTCACCTGCCCTCCCGACCTGGTACGGCGCACAGCGACTTTGTTGACCCTCTGCCCAGGAAAGCCCGATAATGGCACCATCACCCCTTCCGACACAACGATGCTCCGATGATCCCGTCCTCATCATCGGCGCTGGAATCAGCGGCTTACTTCTTGCTCAGCATCTCCTTCATCGCTCTGTGCCCTTCCGCATCTTCGACCGCGATGCCGATTTCACGACTCGTGGAGTTGGTTGGGGCTTGACCTTGCACTGGTCTCTCCCCGCCATTCGCACGCTTCTCCCCGACAAATTGGTTCAGCGTTTGCCAGAGACATATGTCGACCGTGACGCGGTGGAGCGAGGAGAGACATCCAGGTTTCCGCTCTACGACCTGGCCACGGCTAAACTCGAAGCCGCCACACCGCCAGCCACCGAGGCCCAGCGGATTCGCGTCACCCGTGAAGGTCTCCGCCAACTCGTCGCCGAGGATATCCCGATCGAATGGTCCAGGGCGTTCTCCTCCTTTGAGCAACATGGCGAGCGCATCACTGTCAAGTTTGACGATGGTTCAGAGGCCACTGGTCGCCTCGTCGTCGGGTGTGATGGCAGCACATCCCGCGTCCGTCGCGCCGTGTTCCCCGATCAACACAGAGGATACCACCTTCCAATCCGCGTTCTCGGTTTCACAGCCAGATATACAGCACAAGAGATTGCTCCTATGAAGACGCTTGACCCCTTCTTCCTCCAAGCCACCTCGTCTCAAGATAACAACTTCATGTACTTCAGCAGTACGTACACCTACCTCTTCACATGCCCAGCACCCCATGCCCCCTGTTCCTTGCGATGCGGCGCACCCCTGTGGGCCTGCTGCACTCCCCAGGGTCCCCGAAACTAACAAACTTCCAGTCCTCGACGCCCCGGGAAACACACCCCAGCCCAACAAGGCAGACTCTGTCTCCACGTACACCGGCCAGGTTGTGGTGTCCTGGCCCTACCGATCGGGTTTTCTGTCCCGAGACTCTCCCCTCGATTTTCCCGAGAACGAAGATGCCAAGCGAGCCCTCATCAGCTCCTTCGCCCAATCGTGGGCGGAGCCGTTCCGTTCCGTCGCCATGGGCGTTGCAGCCAGCGCCGAGGTCAAGCAGCTAGAGTTGCAGGACTATGTCCCTGGTGAGGGTCTGCGAAGCGCGGGCCGAGTAGTGCTCATGGGAGATGCCTTCCACGCCATGACCATGTGTAAGTCATCGCGTGATTCTTTGACTGTGACTGTCTTGGGTGATGCGATCCGATGCTAATGGACACTCGTAATTAATCAGACAGGGGTGAGGGTGCAAACCACGCAGTTCTGGATGTGCTCGACTTTTCTGAGAAGGTCAGTCCGTGCCTCGAAACTGGCGAGGGGGACCTGCGGGCTGCGTTGGATGCGTATGAGGATGGAGTAGTCAAAAGAGTGAGGCCGGCTGTGCTGGCTGCTCGAAGAGCTTGCCTTGATGCACATGATTGGACGAGGATCACGCCTACTAGCCCGCTATTGACGAGGAGGGAGGCCTTCATGCACTATGAGGAAACAGAACCTTGGGAGACATAAGGTGCCATGTCCGTATTTACACTGCGTCGCGTTTGATTCATAAGCTACTGCTGTGTCACGCTCCTCGATTGACAAAATCTACAAGTTCGTCTTCTATGGCTACTGTAAAATGAACGATCTTCATCGTGCATGCGAGGTCCTGAGTCGTGGACAAATACAGTGATCTACACCATCGCAAACAAGGGCCTGTCACATCTATCCACTCCATCTAGAGATCTAAGCGGCCCGCCGCTTTACTGGATGATGATGTTGCGGCCGCGTTATCGTCCACCTGAACAGAATACGTCATGGATTTGACAATGGAGTGCTCCGGCAGCGTCGAGAGAATGTTCTCTTCGCTGTTGCTCCTATCATTCGCCGAAACGAACGCGCTCTTGTCGCGCCCGACATCGCTGAGCTTGTAACGGTCGCCACTTTTGCCTCCAAGGACATGCGATCCCGAACGGCCGTACCCGCTGGTAGGTTTTGAGCGGTAGCCACGGGCCTTCTTGACAAAGACAGGCGCTAGGAAGGGCAGTGAAGAGACGACATTCTGAGACTGATTAGCCACTGCCCGAAGGTTGTAGCACAAGGCTTGGCGCAAGGACTTACGCCGACATTAAATTCAATCGTGCCCCAGAGAACGAGCATGGTGGAGTTGCCGTCGCCGAACTGAATGCGGTTGATTTGGCTATATCTCATGACGGAGCAGATGGTGGTGAAAATGCCGAGGATAAAGACGACAATTAGGCCCAGCTTCTTCTCGAGCTTGATATTGAGCTTCAGCAAAACCGGGATGGGTAGTAATGTGACGATGATATCTGAAACAATCGTGACAACGGCGTAGCCCGTAAACGAAGGACCTGGAGGGAGGCAAACGCCTGCCTTGAGCGGATTCCATGACTTGTCAACCTGTGAGCTTGGGGTTAGCGGGTCGACAACATGGCGAACTTTTCGATGTGGGGTATCATACCGGATCACAAGCAAAGATGAGCGCGAGAGTGCATCCTAAGTGGCTGCAGAATACAAATCCTATGATGGCCCAGACCACTTTACGATATGTTTTGTGGTCTGTGCCTTGGAGAAGGCGAAGGTAACTTATCAGCAGAGCAATCTTGAAGAAGCTGATGCCGAGTTGGTAAAAAGGCCGCCCTGCGAAATTGACTCTGGTATAGGTGACAAGATTGGCTTTTGGTCGAAGGAGAACTGGCAGCCCCAAGCCGTACCGGGTTTCTATACATGTAAGCTACAGGAAGACTCAGCCGAGAGGGGTGATTTTTGACGTACGAACCACAGTCAAGATGGAGTAGACCAAGGCAAACAACATTGAAAGGCCAGCAAAGTAATCGTCCGCCGCGAGCCCGCGCGCCTTGTGACGAATAAACAACCTTGATGACACAACGGTGATGGACATAAACGACAAAGCCACACAGAGCCCGATGATCAGAGGCCACTGTGAGATGGCCTCAACCTCGGGCGACGCGTTTCGCACCCATCCCATAGTCCCGTATGTCTGCTCCAGAAGTCTCGTTGAAATCAAATGAGCTCGGTTCAGGTCGCAGTGCAGTAGGTCGAGGTTTGCGGCACCAAGTGCCGTCGAAATATTCCAGAACGTCCAACTTCACTCGTGCTCGGGTCTCACAGACGACAAGCAATTCGCAAGGAACGTGAGTGGAACATCTCCATGCTTTAAACAATGTACTCTCGCACCTAAACCTTCTCGCGGCCCCGTCCTGTCGTCCCTCCGATGATCCCACAGCTTTCAATGTCGAACCAGTGCAGGTGTCTCACCACCAACAAGGGATCGGCAAGGATAGTGCGCGAAAAGAATGAACCAGTCACCAAGCCCGTCACCTTCCTCATGCTTGCGTCTACTCTTGTTATCCCGTGGGTCGCCGCAGCTTTGTCAGGGTCGAGTCAAATTGCATGAGGCAGAATAGATAGCTCTGACATCTCCCAGGGCCGGGGACACTGCCAGTGCTCCAGCGACGATACCGTCCGGGTACTTCTTTCGCCAGTTCACCGGCCCTGGCACAGATCGAGCGAAATTTGAGACAGACCACTGCCAGACTGGGAAGAATAATGTAACCTCCGCCAAGGGGCCAAGCTTCCTCTGTGCAGGCCTGCAGAGAATGCGGCACAGTTGGCGAAGTTCCAAAAGCGCCACTTATGCTGCAGGCGAAGATGTTTGCTTCAGTGTTTGCTTCAATGAATGGTACAGTACACCTCATTAGCTTCACATAAAACGTCCAGGGTACCAGGGCATCTGGACTTACCCAGCGAATAGGCCGACGAAAGGCTTCACCCGGCAATCATGCCACCGTTGCCCATTTCGTGGCTTGCTCCATGGTCTGCTAGGGTCGAGTTCTTCGAATACGACGTCGAGATTCCCCTCAACCCCCTGGTCCCATCCCGCTTCCACCCGGACGATCTGGCGGTTCACCCACCCTCTCCCTTGACTGTCTGCCGCAACCACCCTGGTCCCTGCAGCACGGCACAGCTGCCGCGACGTGGTAGAGCATGCATACTGCAGGCTTCTTTTACTTCAACTAACGAACTAGCCTGCAGGCTCGTTCGATTCGGTTTTGTTCTTGCTTGTAAGTGCATCCAGAACACCAAGGGTAGTCTGCCCGTTGGCTCGCATCTTGTCTAGAGAACCTGACCTTCCCCTGTCGGCTGGATTTGCGAGGCAAGCCGAAGCAGTCAAACCTTGCCACAGTCCTGCATCATGCAGCTATTCATTCGGATATTGTACAAAGATTGTCAGCTTGGCGGACTAGGTTCAGTTCGGTGTTCATCGGGTCCTCATATTGGCCACTTTGGCGGTTCTGCTCTTAGCCTTTGTCGCATCTGTCTCATGCAACCTCATATAACCCGCGCTGGAGATCCAATTACTCGTCTCAAGTGACTCGGCAACCCAATTTTCCACCATCACCTTCAGCTGCCAGCTCATCATATTTATTCTGACTTGCTTTTTCTGGTTGGCCCCGTTGGAATTCGCGCGTGGTCTCGTCTATGTCAGCTTCGCCCTGGTGCTGTCGATCATCGTTCGTGTCTGAGACCATTCCCCCGTGAGCAGTACTGGAAAGCTCGCACTCCCCTTTTGTCCCGCCTGCCAGTCTTTCCCTTTTCCCACCTCAGTCGCGAACGGAAACGCAACGATCAAACGACGAGCACAAGCAGTCATGTCGTCGACCGGTGAAAATTCTACCCACGAGGGTAAGGGCGATCCCTTCGAGCCCTCTGAAGCGGTGCCGGGCGCGCATGCTGGCACTGGCACAAACCGCGTCGATGCCGCCTGGGAATATCTTAACGCCAACCGGGGCATGGAGTACGCGCAGGTAGACCTTGCGAAACTACGGCGCAAGATTGATTGGCACATTGTACCGCTGATGTTCTGCTGCTACACAATGCAATTCCTCGACAAGGTCATCCTCAATGTAGGTGTTCCCTGGCACCACGAAATAGTGGACAGATCGCTCGGTGTTCTCAGTAGCTGACCATTGGCCTGTGATATACAGTACGCTGCTGTCATGGGCATTCGCGATGACCTCAACCTTGAAGGCAATGATTTCTCCAATGTTGCGACATTTCTCTTCGTTGGCCTACTGTGCTTTGAGATTCCTAACAGTAAGTGAAATTAGTAGCGAGCTACGACTCGAGCGCTCTCCGTGCGAGGCCGCGCGCCGCTCGCTGTCTCGGCATTTGCTCCTCCCGCCAGGCCAAAGACATCATGCTGACCCGCATCGTCTTGCCTTGCTCTTCAGTCTACTTCCTCCAAGCCGTCCCCGCAGCCAAATGGCTCGGCTTCAACGTGGTGGCCTGGGGCATTGCGACCGCATGCGGCGCCGCAGCGCACAACTACACAACACTGCTCGTGTCGCGCATCTTCCTAGGCATCTTTGAGGCGACCATCGGGCCCTCACTCATGCTTATCAGCAGCCAGTACTACACCAAGTCGGAGCAGGCCCCACGCTTCTCCTTCTGGTACCTTGGTCTCGGTCTCGGGCAGATCATGGGCGGCGCGCTGTCCTACGGGTTTCAGCACATCACTGGCGCCGGGTTGGCGGGATGGCGCATCATGTTCATCACGCTCGGCGCTGTGACCGTCGTCATCGGCGTGGCCACGTTCTTGTTGTTGCCTGATACGCCCATGAAGGCGCGGTGGATGACTGATGGCGAGAAAGTTGCCCTTCTGAAGCACGTAAGCGTTAACCAGACGGGCATCACGGACAAAACGTTCCGTCCCAAGCAGATCTTGGAGGCCCTCGCGGACCCTCAGATCTATCTCATGGTTCTTGCCGTTGTACTGGTGAGTTCCTTCTACTTGGTCCCCTCAAACACATGCCCGGTCCACAGCCACGTGCAGTTGTTTTCATGGAGTCGCGACTGACACGGCATGTACCCCTTTTCAGCTCTCGGTGTCCAGCGGCGTCGTCACCACCTACTCGGCGACGCTGATTCGAAACCTCGGATATACGCCCAAGAAGGCAGCCCTCATGAACATGCCGTCGGGCGTCGTCAGCATCTTCTTCACGTTGTTTGTCGGCTTCGGCATTCGTATCAAGTCCCACCGATGGGCTTGGATCGTTGCCTGTATCTGCCCAGCGTAAGTCCCAAGCGGCTGCAGTCATCGCCCTTGACTAACAATTCGGCAGCATCATGGGCGGCGCCCTCATGTCATTCCTGCCCGTAACCAACCGTTCCGGATGTTTGGCAGGCATCTACCTCGTCAATGCGGTTGTCGCCCCGCTGACCGTCTTCTACGCTGTGAGTCACACTCTTCTCTTGCTCGTGGTCCCATCCGCCATCTACTCAGCCCAAGCGCCGGACACTGCATTCCAGATCAAAAAGGGGAAACGAGACTGATATGAACCCGTGTCTCACAGTGGACGGCTGCCAACGTTGCTGGCGCCACGAAGCGCGCGTTCGCCGTCGCCATTGTCAGCGGTTCGTTCTCACTGGGCAACATCATCGGCCCCCAGACATTCCAGGCCCGCGACGCGCCGGACTACATCCCCGCCAAGCTCGCCGTCATGGGCACGCAGGCCGGCTGTGCCTTTGTGACCGTGTGTCTCGTCGCCTACTACGCCTGGACGAACAAGAAGCGTGACTGTTCGACGTTGGATGCCGAGGCGGAGACCGAGGCGTCGTACCTGTCACCCGAGGTCTGGGCTCAAATGACGGACAGGGAGAACAAGAAGTTCAGGTATACGTATTAGGGCCGTCATTGCCGGCGTCGTGGTCGCTGGGCTTCAGCCCGAGTCAGTGTGTATCATGGTAGAGTAAGCGAGCGAGGCTGTCGCTGGCGGCCAACCTCCGAATTGAAGACCTTTCCCCCTCAATGGCCTCCGATGATCGCAGCGATAGTGCTGCCGACAGTTCCGTTCGAAGAGCATCAGCATTTTTTTCTGCTCCATATTTTGGGCCGAGAGAGAGAATCGCATCATGCGTGAATTAAAAGAAGAGACTAACTGAGGGTTTCGAGCAGCACGGCCGATGACTGAAAGATAACGAAGATGGTGTCATTTTTTCTCTTCGGCCTCTATTCCAGGCCGCGGTTCGGTCCGCGCGCCGAGCTTTCAAGCTTCTTTCTGTCAGGGTCTTCTCCGAATTTCATGCTCTCGCTTGCTTGTCCTCCCCCACCTTGCCTTGACTTGCACAGCTTAGATGCTTACTTTATCCTACCTCGCTGTAACCCTGCTGACCTTGCTCACCTTGCTCGGCCCCCGCCGTGGGGACTGATCGGGATCGCGTCATCCGCTCAATTGCCGCTCATCCACACCTCACCCCTTCTTCATCCTTTCAACCCTACGTCTTTCACGCTTACTCGGCTCTCAATCGCACAAGAAAGGCTATCCCCTGTCTCTTGGCGTGCCCCTTTCCCTTCTTCCCCCGCCGTTCCCCCCCCCGCATCGCTAGTGCGCAGCTCCCCCGCTGCGTTTGCCCTCTTCCAGACGCGCCCCCGAGTCTGCCGACAAGGCCTCCTGTCAGGGGAAATGAAGGTTCGCCATGTGCCACTCGGCCCCTCGGCGGAGAGAGTCCCGGCATACATCTTTGGCGTGCCTTACGCGATGCAACCCCCGCAAACCGAAGATGAGCCTGATGCGCCATGGTTTACGCTTCCCCACGTCCGATACGACACTAGACCACGCCGAGGCATCGTCTCCTCTCATCCGGCTGCGCGCCGTTAGACTTCAGAGCACTGGTGATCTCAAGAATCGTTCAACCTCATCTCCGGCCGATTGGTGGAAACCAGGGTCTACCCGGAGCCCTGTCTACTATCGTGACTCGGAGAGGCATCTCATTGGGACATCAGAGGGCTACCAGAGGGGCGTGCCAATTTAACCATCATGATGTCAACCACCCTCGTCGTGGTGTTTTGTCCCGAGATCGGGTCGCGTGGCAATAGTTGTTGCAGTGCACGCGTCTCGAGGGAACAGCTTATAACGATGAGGAGGAGCACGCCAACTTGCGGCTTGAGACATCCTCAAGCTCGTTCAGTCAAGCTGGGCTGCTCCTATCCAACCCTTCGTCAGTCCTTACCTTCCTGACGTACCGGCCTAATTCGTCCGGCGTACCGGTCCAAATCGCTCGCCGATACCGATACCCTCACATTAACAACCGCCATGGCACGCCTAACTGCCTCCCTGCTGGCCCTCTCCAGCCTCCTGGGCTCGGGAGCATCGGCGCCGACCAACATCACCTCCGAGACGGTTAGCGTTCACTGGCTCGGCAACGCTCCCAACCAGACCATCGGCACCACCTTCGGCCTGCCCTGGCCTAAGGGCAAGTACGACGCCAAGAAGACCGACTTCACCATCTCGGGTGGCAGCGGCGAGAGTCTGCCTCTCGAGTCTTGGGTCAATGCCTACTGGCCCGACGGCTCCATCAAGTGGAGTGGCCACGCCATCGGTGCCTCCGACAGCCCGTCCGGCGAGTACACCGTCACGGCCTCCGGATCCCCCGCCAGCAATTCGACATGCGCGAGGCGTGCCAAGAGGGCTGCCCAGGCTACAGCTCTGACCGTGTCCGAGTCGGACGACAGCGTCGACGTTGATACGGGCAAGATCGCCGTCTCCTTCCCCAAGAAGGGCAGCTCCATCATCAGCAGCATCGAAACCGCTAACGGCAACACTGTCGGACGCAACGGCAAGCTCGTCCTCCACTCCCAGTCTGCCGTCAACGAAGACGCCCAGGACCGTGGCAAGACTGCCATTGACTACCACAACTTTGAGAGCGACATTCACAATGTGACCGTCAGCGAGGAGAACACGGTTCGCACCCTCGTCACCGTTCGTGGCGCCCACCAAGCCAGTGGCGGAGACAGCCACGTCGACTGGCTGCCTTTTGTCCTGCGTTTCTACCTCTACGCCGACTCTGAGGCCATTCGCCTCGTCCACACCGTCATCTACGACGGCAAGACCGACCAAGACTTTATCAGTGGTCTCGGCATCCGCTTCCAGGTGCCCCTCAAGGGTGAGGAGGTGTACAACCGCCACGTCAGGCTTGCTGGCCCCGACGGCGGCCTTCTGAGCGAGGCTGTCAGGGGTATTACCGGTCTCCGCCGTGACCCTGGCGCCACCGTGCGTACCGCCCAGTTCGAGGGCCAGAAGACTCCTGACATCGGCACCTGGGACACTCGTGTCTCGTCGAGGATGCAGTGGATCCCCGAGTGGAACGACTTCAGTCTGTCACAGCTGTCGCCTGACGGTTTCACCCTGAAGAAGAGGACCAAGGCCGGCCAGAGCTGGGTCACTATCCCTGGCGCCACTCGTTCCGGGGGTCTCGCGTATCTCGGCGGCGCCACCGCTGGTGGTCTTGCCGTCGGCCTCCGCGACTTCTGGAAGCGCCACCCTACTGGTCTCGATATCCGCAATGCGGCCGCTGATGAGGGAGAGATCACCCTCTGGCTCTACAGCCCCGAAGGATCCCCTCTTGACCTGCGCCCCTATCACGATGGCCTCGGTCTGGACACGTACGCGAAGCAGCTCGACGCTCTTGAGATCACCTACGAGGATTGGGAGCAGGACCTCGATACCCCTTACGGTATTGCTAGGTCCAGCGAGGTCTTCCTCTTCGGCTTCGAGTCCACTCCTTCTCGCGACGAGCTGTCTGACCTGACTACCTACATCAACAAGCCCCCCGTCCTGGTCCCTAAGCCCGAGACATTCCACGAGTCTGGCGCTGTCGGCTCCTACTGGGGTCTGCCCGACACCTCGTCGCCGTCTGCCGCCGTTCTTGAGGGACACCTTGACTTCCTCCTCGACTTCTACTTCAAGCAGGTCGAGCAGCGTAGGTGGTACGGCTTCCTTGACTATGGTGATGTCATGCACACCTACGACGTTGACCGCCACCAGTGGCGCTACGACATTGGTGGCTACGCCTGGGATAACTCTGAGCTGTCCCCAGACCTCTTCATCTGGCTCCAGTTCCTCCGCACCGGCCGTGAGGACGTCTACCGATTCGCCGAGGCCATGACCCGCCACACCGGTGAGGTTGATGTCTACCACATTGGACCTCTCAAGGGCCTCGGCACCCGCCACGGCATCCAGCACTTCAGCGACAGCGCCAAGCAGGCCCGTATCTCGACGGCGCAGTACAGGAAGTACTTCTACTATGTCTCGGGCGGAGACGAGCGTATCGGCGAAATCCTCGAGGAGACTCTGGATGTCGATCAGACCTACGCCAAGCTCGACCCCAACCGCAAGGTTCGCGGTGACGGCGTTAAACCCACCGAGACTGCGGCGCCCATTGGCCTTGGCACTGACTTCTCCGGCTTGGCTGCTGGGTGGCTCGTTGAGTGGGAGCGCCGCGGTCCCCGCTACGAGGAGGCCCTGACCAAGCTCACTAAGGTCGCCTCCGGCATCGCCAGTCTGAAGAACGGCTTCGTCTCCGGCTCTGCCATCTACAACCCCACAAACGGCGATCTCAGCCCCCCTCCCGCCGACCCCGACAACAGCGGCAACGTCGCCATCTCTCATCTTTCTTCTGTCTTTGGTCTCGTCGAGGTCATGGCCGAGCTGACGGACCACTGGGGCTCTGACGCTCCCGAGGGCTTCGAGCAGGCATGGCTCGACTACTGCTACTACTACAGCGCCAGCAACGCCGAGCAGGCTGCCCGCTACGGTACGAACTTTGGCCGCGGCAACCTTGTCCAGGCTCACTCTCGCCTGACGGCCTATGCCTCTCACAAGACGGACAACTCCAGCCTTGCCGCACGCGCTTGGGCCGAGTACAACCGCGATGGTCTGCGCGCCAACGCCCCTTGGGCCAGCGTCAGACTCGAGGGCAGCGCCGTCCTGCACCCCATTGATGAGGCCGCCTTCATCAGCACCAACGACTTTTCTCAGTACGGCCTGGCCACGATCCAGAACCTTGCCCTCGCTCGCGAGGCTCTTCCTTGAAAGAATGGTAGCGAAGAAAAAGTCATGACTTAGCCAACTTCACGTACATAATTCTTTTTACTAAACATAATCTGTTCATGCTCATCCTGCCTTTCCTCAACTCGTGGAGTGACGTGAAGTCGAGTGAAAATAAGTTCTCATGTTTCCAAGAGATCTCCCCGCCAGTGGTCCTCGATTCGTACACGACGCGGCCGATGATCAGCTGACTTCAGTAACGTTCTCCATCGTGTCATCGAGCGAGATACCCACAGTAGCCTCCGCGGCATACTGCACGGCACCAGGCCGCGTCTTGAACGCTTGGAGGATACCTCTCTCTTTGCCGATCGCTAACAGAGCGAGTCGCGCCGTGTTCCGCAAGTGTTTTGGCACAGTTCGTGTCGTGTACACGTGGCTCAGTGGTGAGATCTGCGACATGCCCTCAAACCATGACGCGTAGGTCGCTGTCGCAAATTCCGGAGACCTACCACCAAGAGAGACAGGTATCGAGTCGATTGTTTCCTGGGCAGCCGTGGCGACTATGGCAAGGCATCTGTCTTTGGTCGCTTCCAGCATGAAGCTGTCGAATACTTCCGCCGTTTGTGAGATTCGATTCGCGGGAGTGTGTAGCACGAGGTTTGTCAGCATGAAGAAGAGGTTGTGGAGTTTCAGTCGGGCACTTCTCCAAATATTCCAGAAGAAGTGGGTGTGTGACGAAGGCGCCAGCTCTTCCGGCGCGGCCTGGGCCATCCAGCGAAGGCACTCCTGTTCAAGGGCAGAGACCTGCTCGAGAAGGGAGTGATAGTGTCGCCGCGCCCCATCGAATAGCCCTTCGCACACCATAGGGAAGATCGTAGAAATGAGTGAGCACGCTTTGCAGATGTACCTGCAAACCAAAAGTGACCAGCCCTCATCTGGGTCTCTCGTATCTTCAAGGAGGCCTACCCATTCGTCTGATTCTGGGGGGCAGGCTTCGTTGGCCATTAGGCAGCCCGTTTGCTGGAGGATAATTCAACACTCGTTCGAGTAAATTCCAAGAATCTCACTCACCAGCGTCATAAATACACACCAGAATATGTAGCGGCCGAAGGGGGTATAGAACTGTGCCTTGCCGCGAGCCCGCAAGAGACTCAAGAGACCTTCTAAGTGTACGTGCCAGGCAGACTTCCGCGAGCTTTGGCCCGAGATGCCGCCTATTTGAAGCTAGGAACAGTGTCAGTGCAACCTGTCCGCTTGCTTAGACTCTGACAGTCAGACCTCGTACATGCCAAGGATCCACACGGCAAGGATAGTGCCGTCTGACGTGCCCTTGTCGCGGTCTTGAATTGCCAGCGCTACCGACCTGAGCGTGTTTCCCAGATGCAAAGCAGTCTCCCGGCGGTCTTGGGGTGCATAGAAGCAACTGCCAAGATATGCTCGAGCCCAGAGATGTGTGGCCATGATCAACGGCTCATTTGGCGAAGTAAGCTTCTCGAATATGGCCGAGAAGAATGCAACAGGTGCATAGCAGTTGATTAGTAGAGGGATGGAATGCGTTCTCCAGGGTTCTCTGAGCTCTCGCGCGTGTAGGGTCGGAGTCAACGCAAAGGCCGCGCTAGACATTGCTGAAGGGCTCTGGGCAAACGGGGCTGTAGAAGAGGCCGTGGGCGTTGAGGCCGAGGAGGAATTGTCATGCAATATCATGACTGCTGAAGAAATTGGTCCACCAGCTTCCGGAGACTCGGAGCTAGAATTCTGCGACGCAGAATTTTTCGCTCGTCGAATGGTGTGTGAGGTCTCATTCCGGAAAACAACATCCTGTTCGTTTCTGTAGCCTGGACACTCGGTGCCATACTTGATGCATCGTTGGCAGGAGGGACGTCCCAGATCACACTATGACGAGGTGAGTCAATTGCTCAATCTCGCTGACCTTCGGATTCCAAGTACGGACCTTGACCCGGCGCCGGCGACAAAGGTGACAGTCTCGACTTGGCTTGCCCGTATTGGGCATACCGGAATGCTGAGCGGGGTGACGCTGACGGGCTGCCTAGACACCTAGTCACGCCAGGAACGACAGGTGGGTGTACCAGCTCAGATCTTTGTTGCTTTGTGTGAGCTTATGGAGCAGAATCAGACTACTTTCTTCAGCCCTTTGACGTCTCGATGATGTGTATGAATCACGGGGGTGAGGACAACAAAAGAAGTAGGTCTTAGTAGGTGTCAGCATAGTGCCGAATCTCCGACAAGGCCTAGTGTGATCTTATCAACTACGATCGATTGATACTGTGGATTGGCCCGTATCACTCGTCCCTCATTGGCTGCTTGAACTGATCTCCCGATGCTGCATTCGCATCATCGTATACTATTATCGCAAAACTAAACGCACCAGCGGCGCCGGACTAGCCCACGTCGATGTGATGAAGCCTAACTGACACCTTCAGGGAAGAATGCAAGTACCGGGCTCAATGCGTCCTGGTGCAAATACCTTCGCCTCTCTCTCATGTAGGTATCTTCATCGGAAGCCCCATCCTCATCATCTACAAGATCCAGCTTCACGGAGACAAGTTGGTACCCGTTCCTCCGATTGTTCCAATACTTGTATGCTACTTCGAAAGTGCTGGAAGCGAATCGAGCGCTGTAGAAGGCGGCAGCGATGATTGAAATTCCAAAGCTAGCCTGCGCAATATGGCACTCTTCCCCAACTCGTCCTGGGCAATGTCGAGTCAAGTACCACGGGTGGGGGCTTGGATGTTCCATGTCAGAGAAATCGCCAGATGCCTGCGACGAAACGCTATAAATCCAAACGAAGGCAAGGAGAGCATCGTAAAGCATCGAGAAAGTCCGAGACATCTGGCCACAGGATGACATGACCACCCGAGCTACGAAGACGAAAATAGACAAGAGGGCGACGGCAAGGGAGGCATCGGTGAGCCTATGGCAAATTAGCGCTCAGAGAACAACTCAACACTTTGGCGAGCTAGGCTCCATGCTCCATACCTCTGAGTCCAGATCAATGGGATCACGGGCGGCTCTTTGTAGTTCGCATAAAAGTATACCCTCTCCTTGGGGTTCGAGTTCCAACCTTCAACGCCGCCGAATTCCCAGAGCCTGTCTCGATGATGTCCCAAGTATGCCGAACTGAAAAGCCCGACAGCTGTGACGGAAATGCAAAAGTCGATAACGAGGACTAGCCTGTCGCTAACAGTGGCTTTCAAGGTCGCATGCATGGCCGTTAGAAAATGAGAAGACGAGCTGCAAGCCACTGCAAGATTCGGCCCTTTGTCACCTGAATCACCGCTTATTTAGTCGATATACTTCTTCGGCATACTGAGACCAGTGTTGTTGCGGCCAAGACCAAAGAAATTATCAGTTCGTTCTAAACTTGCTCATACTGCCGCAGTTTGCGGCAAGGTGGCATGACAATGTGACGTCTGGGCGGGGAACGAAATACCCCTTCCCTATTCGTGCAAACCACTACCTTGAAGAGCAATTGATTTGTAAACGGGGGCCGGCTCGTGGGCTGGCAATGCAGCCTGGCATGTCGTTGCAGGCACCCGTTCCAAGCGGCACACATGGATCACGACCTCAGTGACAAGATTAAGGGAGATAAGAGAACGTTATGACGTTGGAACAAATGTGGGAGTTCCGTTTCACAAGCGCATCAATGATTTCATGTTACGTGCAGAAGCTAATACGACTTTCCAGATAAGGCTTATAATTGCATCTTGAAGGCTCGGAGACGAACCCGGTTTTCGAGTCAGCGACCGCCACTGAGCGGCTTCCCATTGCACGTTTCATGATGAATCTGAAGCTGCTGCTTCACCGCTCACGCTGTAGGAGGCTTGAGAGAAACACTTTCTTGATACAGGTCTGGAGTCTATTTTGAGCAAGTATGCGCTCATTGACCCCGCGGGTGTAGGTTCGGGTCGGGTATGCGGCTTGAGCATCGGTGTCAAGGCTCCAAGATCAAATAAGGCATCAAAATCACTTGATTTGGTTTTAATGTACTCTCCGACCATTTGTCTATGAATGAATTGGAGTGAAGAACCCTGAACATAACTCGAGCCCGATTGCCAGCAGTCAAGCCATTTCGCATCACTCCAGTCATCGACCCATTCAATCATGATGATGGCGCGATCAAAGGTTACACCGAAATGTCTGTTCCAGACTCCTCAACGACGGTGCACCCACAACAGTCGCCCAGGTTGCAAGACACAGCCCAGTCGAAGTAACCACATTGATGCCGCGTGGCCGAAGCATCCGACGCCATCACCACACCAGATATTAGGGGTTAGACCCGGCCAAACTTACTCAAAGAGGCAATTTCATCGGCTAGTCAAATTGTACCATCCCGATCTTCACGGCGCTCACGGAAGCAAGACCGGTGTTCCGTATGAAACCCGGATCGAGCGCTATCATCTCCTCATCCGGGCAAATGAGATTCTTTCCAATCCGGAGAAACGTCTGCTTTTCGAGATGCACGGTGTAGGCTGGGCACAACCCAAGGCAGAGCTGGACGTCTCGCCGCGCTCGAAATATGAGTCTTACCACCATACCTCCAATGATTCGTCATTCGCTGAGTCTAACATGGGCCCTCAATATCCGGTCTATGCATCAAACACAGTGATTGCTGTAGTTCTTCTTGCGATGGCCATGGCCGGCGCAGTCATACAACTCGAGCGGGCTCGCATCGCTCGGTCGGATTTCCAGGCGCAAGACCTCGCCATCCAGGAAGCAATCGCCAGGGATTTGCAGGGCTTCGCAGTTCAACTGGAGGGAAAGCCAAGAGAGTTGCGCGTCTTGGAATTTCTGGCACGTAGAGAGCTCAACAGCTGGTCGGCACGGAGTAGAAAAGCCGGGGGCCTCGTTGTTGACGAGGATATTTGTCGTCACTGATCATGAGTATAACCGATGAACGCGAATATCAATGTTTTCCCGGACCACCAGTCGGTGATGATCTTCAGCCGATAGACTTCCTTCCATCCCGTGCTTTCCCAAGATTTCTCTCCGCATCCACCCGATCCTTTCGTTCCCGTTCAAGAAGGTTCTCCAGTACTTCGCATTTGGACTTGTATGCCTGCAATTCAAGCTCAAGGTTGTGGACACGCTCCTGACGTCCGGCCTCGTCCTTTTCATGTACGTCCTTGACATGTCGAAGACGTTCTTCCAACTCGCCCACGCGAGCGGCTCGCCGCTCCCGAGATGCTCTGGGAACTGACGAATTGTTGCTCTTCCGCTTTGGCTCCGTGGTATTGGCCTCGTCTTCCGGAGCTGAATCATCATGGTCGCGCTGTTCGACTGGCGCATCGAGTGCACCAGGATGGCCCGAGTATGTGACCAAGCCCTCGGAAGAAGTCTTGTGTACAAATTCGTGCGTTGTACCACCATGGACATGTCGCGGCGGCGGTAGCCCATATGGAGATGCATGCGCCAGTTGAGGTGTGAAGGGAAATTGCTGAGCAAGAGATGGCAGCACCATTTCCGGTTCCATTCCCCTGGCGTACCTGGGCTGAATGCGGCCCGAGTCGTTCATCGTCGAAGTTGAAGGCCGGCAGTCCTGGTGCTCAAGTCCCAATTATTCTTCGTGGCGCCCTCTGAGCTAGGCAAAAAGGCATGACGGACATGTTACGACATGCGTGCGACCGCTGACCGATTCTCGGTTTTCGAGTAGAAAATGGGAGATGGAAATGGTCTATAGGTCGGAGTGGACAGAGATTGTGTCTTAGTACTTGAACTACCAGCTATGGGGGGTGTGGCGGCTGACATGGGGCGTGAGCTGCACTTAAGCTTCATGTACAGTCTCCCATGGATACATCTGGCCAATTGGATCCCCTCGAGTGTTTAATTTGTAACGGCGGGCACATCCAAGCTCATCCGCGGCGGTAGACGATCTTGTCAGTGGCTCAAACAGTGCGTGATGAGGGGGTTTGAGCAGGTTAAGCTGTGCATAGATCCACAGGGAATGTGCGCAATACTAAGCTGCACGACAAATCCGAGCTGTGTACCATATCTGAGTTGTGCGCAAAGCACACCAGGCAGTGGCAACGTACAGCTTTCCGTATCTCGGGTCATAGGCTTCCAAGCAAAGGGTGGCATATGCCTCTCTTTTGGCTATCGCTGGGCGCTGTTTCGTTCGCTAATTGACCTTGACAGCCTAACACGCCACGTAGCATTAGATCTCGTACTGCCAAATCAAATTTGGCAAATTTGAGCGTATGCTCACGATTATGACTGAATTCTGACGATTGACGATTCCTACTTGATTGATCACCTTGATATCTCAGAAGGCTGGGTTTTCGCACTCAGAATCGACAAAATTGGAGTGCTGCAAGACTGTCTTAATATGTCAACTCGATGACTCGATGCCTTCCCCTGAAGCCGGGCTCTCTCCCGATTTTTTAGCCTTCCAGATGGCAGAATTACCAAGCCTGAACAGTTCCATGATAAAATCGCTGAGTTCTTGCAAATAAATGGTCTCGTCGTAAGACAACCTCCGCAATGGTACGCTCTGGATGGTCTCAATTGCTTCGATCAAGATCTTCAGATCATTTTGAGGTCCTGGACTTAGGGGATGAATGAGGACATTGACAAATATTGCCATAGCGGCTATTGGGACGTAGAATGAGATGTGTCTAGTGACCCTTGTTAGTAATCTCTATCTCGTGCCATCGTGCCTCATGAGGTGCAAGAAGTTTGATTGATCGTACCCGAATGCCCCTTCTTCTAAAACATCGACAGATGCCTTGAGGAATATTAGAGTCGAGCGGCCAGCTTCCAGCGAGATGTCAACACTGGAGTGTACAACCTTGTGGAGGTCTTCGGGTAGACTCTCGTCTCCTTTAGCAGTACCAGACCTCCGAACTGATGTGTGTATCATCACTAGAGTGTAGTGATAGTCTAGTTGCAAGTTGATGTATTGTGCATTTTGTGACATGCTCGCGTGGGGTCGAAGAAGTGTGCGGCTTGATGGAACAGAAAGTCGTGGCCGCAGAGGACCAGGTACAGAAACCCTCCACTGCTCAAGTTCGTCGTCTAACTGACGAATATGCACCAAAAGCTGACTATCGGACATCCCAAAAGCTTGCGCAGAATAGAGCAGGCGGCATGTTCTCTCCTTGATCACGCCTAACCGGGGATCGGAAGGCAGGCGAAAGGTGGACTCCATCATCAGGTGAATATCCTGGTTTTCTGCTGATTCTGATGTTTCGAGCCCCTTTGGCAGAGATAAGTCGCAGTAGGTTTCAGTCAGAAGCGGAGGTCGACCTGATCGAAATGAGACATCTTTATCTGCCAGGTAACACAGCCAGAAGAGTTCTCTGATGTAATGACAGCGTTGTTCGTCGAGAAGGTCGTCGATACGTGCGTACATAGCAGGATGACTGTGATGGCCACCGAGGTCGCATACTATACGACAAGCGTGCAGGTGCAGGGAGCTGTAACTTCTCCATTGACCCGATGATGATCGATAGGCTTGCTGCGATTGAATCAGTTGATGGAGTTTTGTAAATACCAAGCTGACCTACAACAAGAAGTATTGCTTGAAGCGTTTCTATGCAAGACTCCTCAATGACGATGCTGAGGAGGGTTTGTGCTCTAGTGGCACACATTTCGCCGTCTAGATACAGAGGAGAGTACCATGCAGGTTTCATTCGTCGCGAGATGGCATGGAGAGCCCATACACATGCCTTGGCTGAAAGTGAAGATCGTGCAGCGATTGTGTCCTTGAGAGGGTTGTACGCTTTTGTAACGGTTTCGCGGAGAAACGTATCATCGAGGACTGGGAAACTGTATCGAAAGTATGATTCATAGACAGTGCGAATGGCCTCCTCGGTAGCGGACTTACTCGGTAGCTCGTTAGGTCGCCGGCTATCGATATCTGATCCTGCTCTGGATGCAGACTTCGGTACGGTATGAGCATGGCCATTGAATGCCAAGAATGTTTTCAAGAGGACCTCATGTCCAGTTCTTGACGACATCCATCGTCTACCCCTCTCGGACAAAATTGGCAAGCCTCTGAAGTACCAGTTATTCCCCAAATTCTGTACGCGGGATGAGAGTGGCTGCGGTTCGGCAGCCACATCTTCTGTCACAACGGGCGGTGTTGGGAAGCCGGACGCACAGGAGTGGACGGTATTGTTGGATGAGTAATGGGAATGCGGCGATCCGACTTGCTCGATTCCAGGAGATGTGATGCTAACGTCGCTTCGAGGGGTCGTAATTTGTGGTTGATCATGGGTGTTTTTTTGAACTAAATCACCCTCTAGTTGTTGAATTCGACGGTGAAGCTCTCGAATTGCATTCGACGTAGCCCTGTTTCACACATAATGAGCTTGTGAGTAGGGCCATACAGCAAACTGCCCAAGATATACGGATCCTGTTTTTTGCGCTGCGGTTCCCTTTCGAACGTGCAGGCAATGTTCTGGTGGCTGCACCAGTTGCAAGGCACGCCTGGACTGGGGATGGCACATTGGATCTAGGGAAACAGTTCCGCCATTAGCGAGCTCCACTATGTGAGGCAGTGACAACAGGCTGTTAGTTGCACCTTTCTTTTGAAGCAGATATCACACGCTCGTCTGGGCGGCATGATGAGCTGAAGATGTTGTCGGAATACCACAGTGCTGCTTCTGCGTGTCGGAATGATCGGAGGCCGAGGAAGGTTATGTATCTCCAGGTTAAGTGAAAGATGTGGACAGGTGAGTGGGGTTTCGGAGACCGACATCCCGCTTACATAAGTTGCGCTAAGATTGCCCGACCTGAGAGGATAGGACCTGATGATTGTCACCCCCACTTGAGTATTCTTCAGATCCAGTACGTTACGATCCGGAAGCCTCCCCGATACACATTCTACCCAGCACACTGGTCACTGAGATCTCACACCCTAACTTGCCCCGTGAGTACTGGCTTTCTAACAATACCTTCTCATCTCTTTCTACACGTGGGGCTCAAGCTGCTACCATGAGAGATGGGCTTCGGAGGCGCGTATTTGGTGACAGTAGAAGTGATGAGTATCTTTGACTGAATTATCAAGGCTTGCTGCTTCAGAACCCAGCTGCTTTTATTTGGATGAAGAAGAGTTGAAAGTTGAAATTTAAGTGGTAGATGCCTTGCATCAGAACTAAGAACATTACATTGTCATTCTACCCGGCACAGTTGTGGGGTCAGCTTCAGTCCCAGCCTCCGAGCGCCTGCGCATGCTTGGTTCACCTGTTTCCTCTTCGACATTGAGACGACTGTTCGTGGCAAAGGTTAGCACCCGACCTGTCCGGTATCTGGAGACGTACCATAACGGACACCGGCCAGACCACTGGGAAAGCCAAGGGTCGATGCAAGCTTTATGGAACTTGTGGTGGCAAGGCAAGACTCTGATTAATTCGTTCGTTGAGTAGCCAACGGTACAAACGCAACATTCTTCATCCATGTTGCTTTTGTTTTGGGGGTGGAAACCTCCAGAGATCATGGGTTGATCTGTTCTGACATTCTGGCTAATTCAATTAGCCGCTAACGTCTTCCACATCGGCTTACATACCACATCAACTTTTGGTCCCAGCTCTATGTCGTCCCCAGAGATAACGTCGTTCGTATTGTGAAAGTGTACAACGGGGAGTGTGTCCAAAACAGCTTTGGCGATACCTTGTATTCTAGTCCGTGATGGACTCTCAGTGCCGCCAGTCCGTGGGCCATACTGATCAGGGTTTTGATAGGCTCTGACAATACCTCTCACCAGCGTGACGGTGCATGAAAGTGCCAAAACCCCCATGGTCCCATAGAAAATGCCGAGTACGACCACTCGAGCAATATGTTCCTCGGACCTAGGAGCAAGGATTCGACATGGTGTTGTTACGTCCAGGTATGCTGAGCTGAAGCTACTGTAGAAGAACATGTCGTCAGACGACTCTCGTTTTCGTATGGATATCTCAGTTGAATGAAGGTATATCTCGATGTCAAGTCGTCCGTGTGCCGGAAAGTTCTGGTGATATCAAGCCATATTTATAGCACCACATCCTCAGATCAAGCCTGTATCCAATGTGTATTGCTCTCGGACGCCATTGAAGGATGGAGCCTTCTCCCTAGAGCACGTTGCATGATTGGTCTGTGGCACTGAGAAGCGTTGAGTTCACCACTTCCCTGAATTGGATCTCGATAAGTCGAATTGGGTTACATAATCGGGATGTAGACTCCGAAGTGTTGGAGATATAGTGGAGCCTTCAGTAACTAGAATGATGGATAAAGATGACCATCCCAGGAATGCTGCTGAGTACAATCTCTTTCTTGCTTTTTTCCATGATCATTGGAACTTATCATCTATCTTCTATATCTATCTTCTATTTACCCCCAAGATGGCTTTTTTATCCGCCAAATGGCTTCGCATTGCCTCCAGCCAACGCCTCTGCCGATCATCACAAGCCGTGTCAGTCGTGGACCAGAAAACTTATGTTTTTGGTGGCGAGTTGGTACCCCGCAAGCCTATCGATAATCAAATAGACACAGTCGACGTCGAAAACGAGAAAGGTAGGAAGAAGTCCATGCAACTTCATGCCTTTGCTAATCGATCAGCCAACCCCACCGTGAAGACAATCCCTGCACCGGCAGAGGCTCCTATACCACGCGTTGGCAGCCCCAGCACCACAATCAATGGCAATATATGGATATTCTCTGGCCGCGGAGGCCTTGACATGAAACCCGTTGAAGAACAGGGTACGCTGTGGCGCTACGAACCAGGCGCTGCCAAATGGAGCTCGGTCAAGCCCGCTGATCCAGCCGCACCGTATCCTGCAGGGCGCAGCTATCATTGTGTGACCTCGGATGGCAAAAGCAAAATATTCATTCACTCCGGGTGTCCAGAAACTGGACGACTAGCGGATCTCTGGATGTTCGACGTCGAGGACATGACTTGGACGGAATTGCCGTTAGCGCCCGCGCCATCTAGAGGTGGTGCCTCAATCGCGTACGCCGACGGCAAACTATATCGAGTCAACGGTTTCGATGGCATCAATGAACAGGGGGGCTCTTTGGATGTCTTTGACATTCCGTCACTTTCATGGAGCACCATGACCTACAATCCAGACAACCTGGAAGGTCCAGAAGCCAGAAGCGTTGGAGCCTTGCTACCAGTCATGATACATGGCAGTGTCTACCTGGTCACAATGTTCGGGGAGCGGGATCCCAGCGCGCTTGGGCATGCTGGCGCCGGCAAAATGTTGCCTGATGCTTGGGCATGGGATATCAAGGAAGGAAAATGGCAGAAGTTGAGGACGCCAGGTCAAATTCCAGAGCCACGTGGTTGGTTTGACGCCGATGTTGTCAGGGGCGGAAACAAAAATGAGTCAATCATTGTGCACGGAGGATTGAACGAGAACAATGAGAGACTCGGTGATATTTGGAAGTTGGTTTTTGACTAAAGGTTCGTTTCGAGCAGGCGGAAGATGGCAATGGACTTCTACCAGGATTTGTTCATCTCAAAATGACGGCGACGAGCTCTGAAAGCTCTAAGGAGCTAGCTTAAATACGAACGTACCTATGGGACGATGTGCGGAGTACGAATTAGAGGTGATTGGTGGGGTTTGTAAGCAAATCTAAGGTACAATCCATCGTGAATCATGACTCACAGGTGTTCATCGAAGGAGCTTCTGACCATGAACTACGCACGTGTTGTAGACTCCCGTCGTTGTCATTGTACGAACCGCGCAAATTTCGTTGAGCTCGGGCACCCATTGCATCAGCTTCTACTTATCGTTTGGTGAAGCTCCCTCAACCAGCTGTCATCATGAAGTCCGCGCATTCGACCCCCACAGCTCTCGTCATTATCGATGTCCAGCAGGCTTTCAAACATCCAACATACTGGGGTGCGCATCGTAGCAACCCTTCATTCGAAAACAACATTGCAGCGCTCCTCAGCGCCGCGCGGGCCCATAACGAGGCTCAGGCCAAAAGCAACAAGCCTCAGCCCGTCTTGATCGTTCACATCCACCATCATTCCACCAGTTCAGGTTCAGCCCTGCACCCGTCGGCGAAGGTTCCGGGGACTGACATACTCGCCATTGAACCAATGGAATACGTCAGTCCGCTTTCCTCAGAGCCGGTGCTGGTGAAAAATGTGAACTCCGGCTTCATTGGAACCGACCTGGAGGCTCGTCTGCGTGCTTTTGGCGCCGGCCAGCTCATTGTGACTGGTTTGACAACAGACCACTGCGTCAACACTACTGTCCGCATGGCAGCCAATCTGCAGGTGCTGGGCGATCAGGGTGGTCCAGATGGAACCGGAGAGGGGGTTCATGGGATCATCGTGGCCGGCGATGCTACGGCTACACACCCAAGAGCTAGCTTCGATGCGGAGACGGTGCATGCTGTTACGCTTGCCAGTCTGGACGGGGAATTCGCGCAAGTGAGGAATACGAAAGAGGTGATCGCGTCTGTTTTTGGCTCACAGTAGAGATGATGATCCACTCGGTATACATAGTACTCACCCAGCGCGCATACAATGCCCTAATCAAGGAAAGGACAGCGACCCAAGTGCGCTCCTCTGGACGATACAATGTGGAAAGGACTATGACGCCGTACAGTTTTCGCTTCGTAGCGCATACTTCCTATAATATTCCCATGTTGACTCTTTAACAACAACGAACATCTGCCGGCAAGGAAGAACAGAACATGGATTCTGGCACACACGAAGCGGGAGTCGTGGTCACGGAAGAATCAGTTGCCTGTCCCCTGACATTCGGTTCCTGCCTGTCGATCGTCCCTCTCCGTGATTTTCCCCTTGTCACCCTTGAGGAACCCCCTTTCATTTCGTCACATCGGTCCTACTCGATCGGCCGTCGGCGCGACTGACAGACCAGGGTGCTCGCAATGCCGGCGGGGAGCGGGGACTGCCACAGCACGCTGCTGGCCAATTCCATGAGTGTCAAAAGCTCGATGCAGTATGCGCCAAGCGGCCAGTTTCTTGTCTTAACCAATCCATCTATGATCTGTATTAAATCTCTTGGCTGACAATGCAAGAGAATGAACAAATACGTAGTCTCGGGTCCCCAGGGTCGCACTGTCGCGTCGACAGCTTTGGCATCACCATCGTATGCCTCTCTTCTGTAATGCCAACCTGACGGCCTCGGGCCGAACCTACCCTTGTCCCCAGGTTCTTCAGGCGCTCAAGCCTGCAAGCCACTATGCTTGCAACGGCTTTTAAGCTGCGGGGAAGAATCTGGGGCTTTGCACGTGTGATCCAGACCTCAACGCCCAAGGTGTGGGGTAGGTCATTTGTCTGCCCAGTGAGGGGATCATGACCAGCATTGAACCCCCTAAACCGGTTATGTGCCGTGCTTTTCTGCCCCTCGCATGCACGGGTGGCGCCTCTGAACCTGGAACGATGCAACCCGAAGTCCTGAACTCCAGAATCATCCAGCATAAGCGCCGGAGTACGTCCAAATGAGGCGCTCACGGCCGCATGTTGCTCGTCGAAGAGTTCAAGTGGCTTTCCATGGGCTGTGCCTGTAAACAACCGCTCGGCCCTTCTACTGACGAGCGATCCACGAACCGAGAGTCTTTTCCCCAACTCAGTCTTCGCCCGCGTAACGTGCATTGACAGACCTTTCTGGCCTTGCGGCTCCAGCCGGCGATGTGGTTTCCCGCTCTGGGACCCCAGGTGATTCTGGCCACTATAGTCGACTCCTGGGCAGAAACGCCGGCCCGCCATGGACTTGGGCTTCGGCCGCCATGTTCCTCTAGTGGCATCCGAGAAAGGCCCGACTTTATGGGAAGCGTTGCGACTGCTTGCAATGTGGAGATAGCCTCATGCGATGTATTCGTCCTGTGCTATTTCCAACTGGGTATGGAGACTAGGTCGGCTCATCGTAGCGGCTTCATTCAAGCATTTCTATAAAGTGCCACGGTCTCTCCAACTTCAACGCTTGTAATCCATCCCTCCGCAGATCAGCAATCCCATCACGGTTCTACTCTCTCGGCTCGGTATCAGTTCAATATGAGGTTCTCATCCATTCTGTCGCTTGGCGGCCTGGCCGTCCAGTCCGTCTCCGGTCTCCCCGGAACTCTCGAGAAGAGGGTCAACGTTGATCAGTGGATCCAGCAGGAGCTGCCCATTGCCCGGGCCCAGCTTCTGTGCAACATTGGCCCCAACGGCTGCAACTCTGCCGGTGTCGCCTCAGGTCTCGTTATCGCCTCGCCCAGCAAGTCGGACCCTGACTGTATGTCCCAAAAACCTACCCCAAATACAAGATGAGACAAACTGACAGTTCCCCTTAGACTTCTTCCACTGGACTCGCGATGCTGGTCTTGTTTTCAAGGCCATCATTGACCTGTTCGTCGAGAACTACGATGCGGGTCTCCAGCAGAACATCCAGAACTTCATTGTCGGCCAGGCCAAGCTGCAGACTGTCAACAACCCTTCCGGCAGCTTCTCGAGCGGCGCCGGTCTTGGCGAGGCCAAGTATCTCGCCAACGGAGCCCAGTTCACCGGTGACTGGGGCCGCCCCCAGCGCGACGGCCCGGCTCTTCGCGCTATCGCCCTGATTAAGTACTCCAAGTGGCTCATTGCCAACGGCTACACCTCGACCGCCAACACCGTCGTCTGGCCCATCATCAGGAACGACCTGGCTTACGTCACTCAGTACTGGAACCAGACCGGTTTCGACCTGTGGGAGGAGGTTCAGGGCTCGTCCTTCTTCACCATCGCCTCCCAGCACCGCTCCCTCGTCGAGGGTGCTGCTCTCGCCCAGCAGCTCGGCCAGACCTGCAACGGCTGCGCCGGCATCGCTCCCCAGATCCTCTGCTTCCAGCAGCGTTTCTGGAACCCTTCTCAGGGCTACGTCATCTCCAACATCAACGGTGGCAGCTACCGCAACGGCAAGGATGCCAACTCTATCCTCACCTCCATCCACAACTTCGACCCTGTCCTCGGCTGCGACGCTTCCACCTTCCAGCCCTGCAGTGACCGTGCTCTCTCGAACCACAAGGTTGTGACCGACTCTTTCCGATCCATCTACGGCATCAACAACGGCAAGGGCCAGGGCCAAGCCGTCGCCGTCGGCCGCTACCCCGAGGACTCCTACTATGGTGGTCAGCCTTGGTACCTCAACACCTTCGCCGCCGCCGAGCAGCTGTACGATGCTATTTACGTCTGGAAGCGCAGCAGCTCAATCAGCGTCACCTCGGTCTCGCTTCCCTTCTTCCAGGCTCTGATCCCCGGCATCTCCACCGGCACCTACGCTTCCACCTCCTCGACCTACACTTCGATCCTCTCCGCCGTCAAGGCCTACGCTGACGGTTACGTCGATGTCGCCGCCACCTACATCCCCGGCGGTGGCAACATTGCCGAGCAGTACAACCGCAACACGGGCCAGCCCCTCTCTGCTCGCGATCTCACCTGGTCTTACGCCTCGTTCCTGACCGTCGCTCAGCGTCGCCGCGAGGTTGTTGGTCTCGGCTGGGCCAACTCTGCCGCCAGCGTCGTCCCCAACACCTGCTTCGCGACGTCCGTCCAGGGCTCGTACACCAGCGCCACCGCGACGAGCTTCCCGGCCAACCAGACTCCCGCCACCGGAGCCCCGACCGGCACTGCCACGACCGCGACCGCCCCGGCTGCCACCACCACGGCCGCCTGCGTCCCCCCCGTCAACGTTGACATCACCTTCAACGCCCGCGTCGTCACCCAGTTCGGCCAGACTGTCAAGATTGTTGGCAACATTCCTCAGCTCGGCAACTGGAACACGGCCAACGCCATCTCCCTGAGCGCCTCCCAGTACACCTCCTCCAACCCCGTGTGGAGCGGCACCCTGAGCCTGCCCGCCGGCCAGGCCATCCAGTACAAGTACATCAACGTCGCCTCCAACGGCGCCGTTACTTGGGAGAAGGACCCCAACCGCTCTTACAGCATCCCCTCGGCCTGCGGCACCACCAGCGCCACCAGGACCGACTCCTGGCAGGCTTAAGTCGACTTTCCTTTGTTGGCTAGTCGGTACATTGGAGGGTTGAGGAAGGCCGGGTGGTCAAGTCCGGCCCGGCTTTCTTCTACACTCAAACCGCAATCGCCTCCGCGATCGCGCATTTCAGACGATGGGCGGCCATGGTGGTGATGTGAGCAATACCTGGCATTGGCCAGCATGACCCAAGTAGGGAACGAACGAATGAGAGAAAAGACAGTACATACGCATAGAACCAGATACATATTGACGATGATGAATTTCGATTCTTATTTTCTAAATCTTTTCAATGCTGCCTCTGAAAACGTGATGTGACTGCGACTATCAAAGAGTGGGGGAAGGGGACCAACTTGCTCGATCAGTAGTCGCTGCGCTACGACAGATGAACCCTCATCTAGGCCCAGCGACGAGCTGGAACCCGAAAGCCTAATATCGTCATCTTTTTCTGAGCGACCTCTCTCGCCGTCGGTCCATTAGCTTCTTCAGCCCTGGCCCGGATTTCTTCAAGCAGGTCCGGGGCCATCGGCCTGATCGGGAAGGTGTACGTGGGTTCGCCTTCGAGGTTGGGAAAGGGGCTGCAACTTTCGTGGCCCGGGTATTTCTCCGCACTGCAACTGAACAGAAAGTTTGTCCACATGATAAGGCGGCGAACAGTCGAGGTGTAGATCCGCGCTGGTTGATCCGCGAAAACGATCCGTAGGACGATGGCGATGCTTTCGTCGGCGCGTGCGTGGTCATAGATGCCGCTGAGTGCTGTCAGGCCGCATAACTGACGCTCCCTTCGGGCGACGACGCCGGCTTTCTGGCAGGACTTGTGGGAGCGCAGTCGTTTCAAATCCGTGCGGATGGGTCCGAGCAAGCGTGCGAGGATGTCAGCACGATACACCACAACCTGATCTACCTTTGTAAGCAGAGAAGGCTAAGATCGGGTGAGCGACAACATACCTAGGACGCTTGGTGGAAGAAGGACGTTCACGTCTCGACAGTCCGTCGTCTCGTGACCGTCATCGAAAAGAATGCTCCCGTTGTCGTAAACTTCGATATCCCAAGCCAACATCAAGCATGTTTGTGCGAACAGCCCCTCCTGAGCAAGATGCCAAGAAATAGTGAGATGAATCGGAAGAGCCTTTGCCATCGCAGGTTCGAGCCATCGACTCACGATCAATGATGTATGCCAGCGACGGAGAGGTCCCAGTAGATCGTACATTTCTGCTACCTTCAAGAGTGCGAGTAGTTTCTCATGATCAATATCCACAGGAGGTTGTCTCCTGCAATCTGTGGCTTCACAGATCAGATCGCTGCTCGCCTCCTCTCCCATGTGCAGGTATCTCAAAATAATGAGAAGAGGCCCAGGGTCGTCATCAGATAGGTGAACCTCCCACCGCCTGTCGGCAGGTCTAGATTCTTTGAAAGGACCAGTCAGCATCGCCCGAAATACTACAGAGGCCGAGATAAGTCGGTGAGATTCGACCATGGCCGCAACTCCAGCCTGCCCTATGATGAGGGTCAAGTCACTTCTTGAGCTGAAGGAAGAAAAGGAGGGGGCGTTGCTATTGAGTGTGCTGAGGCTCAGTATCCTAGAGTCTGTCATATCGAATGTCGCTGTTGCTGCTAAGTTGGTCCACATTGGCTGGAGGATAATGTGATCAGTGAGCTTTCGATGCACAGGCGGCAGACATTTGAAGATGCGTAGCTGACGTCAAAGAAACGCCAAAAATTATGGATCTGCTGCGCTCATAAAATTTCAGAAATAAGGTTGCGGTCAACCTGGACAGCAGCCGCGACTTCAGCGCCCCCAAGGTGCGAAAGTGACCAGACCGAGACGTCGACAACATAGAGTCCAGTGGAGCAACAATACGCTCCATGACATTGAATTTGAGTGCGCTAAAAGTCTCTGTAAGAATACAGTCGCTGTAAGAATACACGCAATCCATCACCTCTGTGCGTCGGCGGGTTTCAGCTCCATCATGTCTAGCCACTCCATGGCGAACGCCGTCACGATCTTGGTCCAGTCCCTCACTGTCGGCATGTCGAGATGGTCCCCATCATCGTTCATCGTGTGCCACACAGACGGGAATGGCGTCGGGATCAGGTGCAAGATAGGAACACCCTTTGCCATGAAGGGTTCGTGATCATCGCCGACGAACCCGCCGCGGAGCTCCTTAGAGCTCAGCTCACCATCGGGCAGGAAAGGTGCATTGGGCTTGGACTCGAGGAGACGGAGCTTGCGCATGCGGTTTTCAATAGAAGCGAGGTTCTGGTAGGCCCAGTGGGTTGGCGTAAAATAGGAGGGGATGGAGGGGTTGGCGGCACCGAGGAGGTCAAGCAAGACGAATACACTGATTTGGTCCAAGGGGTTCTTGTAGTAAGACATGGCCGGGTTGGGATTTTCCCATTCGGTAGCGAGGGACCTGGGGAACCATGTCAGTGAGGTAGCGGCACATGTCACAAGAACACGCAACGTACCGGGATCCGTAGAGAGAATCGGTGTCAGTCCAGGACACGAACGCTTCCTCGCCGTCGAGCAGGAGAATCTGGATGCCCATGTCCATGGCCGGGGTACCACCACTCTCGCCGAGGCCGACCATCTCGTCCTGCATCTGGGTGATGTAGGGGTCAATGTAGCGCGCAACGTGCATCAGCATGGCACATGGCGCAGCGCTGTCGGTGGCGCCGATGAAGCCATCAGGTTTGATCTTGCTGTCATAGTGGGCGACGAGGGTCAGCCAGTTGGTCTGGCCTGGCTTCGTCCAGGGCGGTTCTCTCCGGATAATGAGGTTCTGGAACGGAATGTCCTTGTTGCCAGTGGCAGGGGTTTTCCCGGTTGAGTTTTGCCATTGAATGGACCACTTGGGCAGCTGCGTCTTGAAGAAGTTGACAAAGTGCGCCTGGGTCTTGACCTGACCCGGCGTGCCGGGCACACGAGGAATGAGGATGGGGGCGAGAAGTGCGCCGGTTTTGGGGTCTAGCTCGTCGTCGCTCGATGTGATGTTGCGCAACCAGTCATCGTCGAGCGGCTGATAAGCGAGCACGGTAGACGCGAGGAAGACGAAGTGAAGGAGGATGAGGACGATGGCCTGTGGTGATGGGGGTCCTCTTGCCATGATGGGTGTGGGTCAGCGTACTGGGCTCTCCCTCTTAGGCTTTCATGCTGCGGAAAGGCGTGATGAAGTGGGCGTAGATGACTTCTGCCCTGGTGAGATGGTCGCTGATTGGTGAGTGGGAGCGAAGGTCTCGCTCTTTGTTCTCGACGGAGGCTTCACTCTCATCAAGAAAAGAGTCGTGTCAACTTGGCCTTGTTCGCGACGGACGCGATTGATCCAGGGGGTAGCACGCTAATCCGAATCGGGTACTCGCATGAACAGTGCGACGTTTCACAGGGCCAGTCGCTGGCAGGTGCTTCCGTCTGGGCTTGCCGTCTGACCTGACGGAGCGCCCATAGTTCCTGCTACCAGGTACCGAGGTAGGCTCCCAAGCTCCTTAATAAATCAACTAACTGTACGCTGGGCACGTCTTGGAAGCCAACCTGTCGTCCACTGGGTCCTTCATTCCATCATCCACCAACACCAGACAAGACCATCGCGACAGCCCTGCCCTTCTGACCGCCTTCATCGTTCAAGCTTGGCACATGATGGGCAACAAGATTCAAGAAGCACAAGGCCTGCTGATGCCGCTGCTCATTCATTGGCCCCCCGTTGATGCCTCGATGCATCCCAGCCGCAGAAGCTGCCGCTGCGGGTATGCCTTGAGTCGGCTCCATCTTTCTCGCTGGATGAATCCTATGTCGCCGCAAGGCTTCGTCAATCAGTGTCCGAACTGGTGTAATGGCTAACATTTGACGCTCTCACCGTCAGGCTCAGGGTTCGATTCCCTGGTTCGGAATCTTTTTGATTAATCCGGATTTTTTTTTTTTTTTGCAATTGTTCTTTTGTTTCACTGAATGAATCACCCATGTCCACGCAAGCGACTCAGCCGTTGCACGTCGCGAGGTGTTTGCCACAGAAGCCTACCGGCATCGTCTTTAGCAGCTGCCAATCCCATCTCGGTAGCTCTCTACCCGACGATCATCGCCTTGGTTGCGCCTAGCGTCTCTGCAAAGCTCCTGTTTCTCCCTTTTACCCGGCATTGGCCCTGAGTTGGGCTCGTTGCACAGGGGACTTTGTCCGCCATCTGCCGTGGCTTCGAGCTTGGTTTTACCCCACCAGGTACCCCGCGACAAGGGGCAAGAGTGCGCCTCGGCCGCCTGGCTCTATCAACCGCTGGCCGACAAACGTCATGTTCGTCGCCAAAAGCACACCAAGGGTAATCCAGTACACACAGAGACCTAGACGGCACCATTCTGACTCGAATGCACGCGAACAGGTCCCACAGCGCCGAGCCGGTTCAATTGGCCCCGCACGCCAAATAACCTCCAAAGTCATGTCGAACAAACAGGCTAAAGGCATCGTATCATCCGGTGGCCCTCCCCCACAGCCTGGAGGCGATGGAACCTTGGAACCCAGCGAGCCGGAGCATGACGATCCCTATGACGGAGAAACTTGCAGGGCGACGGCACATCATGGAGCGAACCGTGGTTGAAGCAATATAAAGATGGCGACGATCCAGGCACCGAAACCGTCCCTCAGGCGCAAGCTCTCTCACCTAAGACACGAGGATCGCGAGCTTCATCACCACCAAGATGCGCGGACTGATTCTCCTCGCGACTCTCGGCCTAGCGGCTGCCGAAGACGGCCTCGCCGCGTGGCTGCGGTACGCCCCAATCCCACATGCCAAATGCTACCACGGCAAACTGCCGTCGGTCATCGTCACGCTCAATGCCACCGAAGGCCTTCCTATCCACACCGCCGGCAAGGAGCTCGCAGATGGCATCAACGGCATTTTCAGCAAGGAGTTGACTTTCGGTGATGCTTCTGAGGAGGAAGCCACCATCACTGTCGGCACCCTGGAGGCATATCTCGAAGATGGTGGTGCCATTGATGAACTTCCCGAGCTCATCGAAGATGGATACCACCTCAACATCTCCGGCGCCAATGTTTTGATCCTCGGACAGAACGAACGAGGTGCACTTTACGGAACCTTCAAATACCTCGCACGCCTCGCACAGGGCGAGATCAAGGATGAAGTCTTGACCTCGAACCCCGACGCTCCGATTCGATGGGTTAACCAGTGGGACAATATGCGCGATGGAGGAACTCACGGCAGTGTTGAGCGAGGCTACGGCGGTGATTCCATCTTCTTCTGGGATGGAAAGGTCCGCGAAGACCTGACGCGTGTCGGCGAGTATGCTCGTCTGCTGGCCTCCATCGGCCTGAACGCCGTCGTTGTCAACAACGTCAATGCTAACGAGACGACTTTGACACCCGAGAACATGGATGGCGTTGCCCGCATCGCCGATGCCTTTCGCCCGTACGGGATCAAGCTCGGTCTCTCCCTTAATTTTGCCTCGCCCCAGCTGCTGGGAGGCCTCGATACTTTCGACCCTCTCGATCAGAAAGTCATCGACTGGTGGCAGGGTATCACAGACGCTCTGTACGAGCGGATTCCTGACATGGCCGGATACCTCGTCAAGGCCAACTCGGAAGGCCAACCCGGACCGATTACATACAACAGGACGTTGGCCGACGGCGCCAACATGTTTGCCCACACTCTTGACCCATACGGCGGCATTATTCTGTTCCGAGCCTTTGTCTACGATCACCAGAGCTTGAACCAGGACGCCAACTGGAAGGCTGACCGTGCCAACGCGGCTGTCGAGTTCTTTGACGGTCTTGACACCGAGTTCGCCGATAACGTTGTCATCCAGATCAAATATGGCCCCATCGATTTCCAGGTCCGTGAACCTGTGTCGCCTCTCTTCTCTCAACTGCATGAGACGGGCAGTGCGGTCGAGCTCCAGATCACGCAAGAATACCTTGGCCAGCAGGCTCATCTTGTCTACCTTGCCCCCATGTGGAAAGAGCTTCTCGACTTTGACCTGCGCGTTGAAGGCCAAGGCTCCACGCTGAAGAGCATTGTCAGCGGAAAGCGGTTCGGCAACAAACTTGGAGGCTACGCTGGTGTTGTCAACGTTGGCCACAACACTACTTGGCTCGGAAGCCATCTGGCCATGTCCAACCTGTATGCTTACGGCAGACTGGCATGGGACCCTTCTGCGGAGTCGGTCGAGGTTCTGGAGGAGTGGACCAAGATGACGTTCAACCACGACCCTCTCGTAATCGACACCATCACGAAGATGTCGATGGAGTCATGGCCGGCGTATGAGAACTACTCGGGCAACCTGGGTGTCCAGACGTTGACCGACATTCTCCACGGCCACTACGGTCCCAACCCCGCCTCGCAAGACAACAACCCCTGGGGTCAGTGGACGCGCGCCGACGCCAACAGCATCGGCATGGACCGCACCGTGTGGAACGGCACCGGGAACGCCGGGCAATATCCCCAAGAAATTTACGAGATGTACGAAAACATCGAAACCACCCCCGACAACCTTCTGCTCTGGTTCCACCACGTCCCCTACACCCAGCTCCTCAAGAGCGGCAAGACTGTCATCCAGCACTTTTACGACGCCCATTACGAGGGCAGCGCCGTGGCGCAGACGTTTGTGCCCCTCTGGGAGAGCCTCAAGGACAAGATTGACGAGGAGCGCTACGAACACGTGCTCTTCCGCCTCATCTACCAGGCTGGCCACTCGCTAGTGTGGCGTGACTCTGTCAACAACTTCTACCTCAACAAGTCGAGCATTCCTGACGAGGCTGGCCGCGTGGGCAACCACCCCTACCGCATTGAGGCTGAGGACATGGAGCTCGACGGCTACAAGCCGTACCGGGTTCACCCATTCGAGGCTGCGAGCGGCTCTCACTGCATCGTGACGGCGGACAACTCTACCGAGGGTACCGCGTCGACGAAGCTCGAGTTTGAGACGGGAACATACAACGTCGCAGTCAACTACTACGACCAGGCTCTCGGCAACGCCACGTGGACGCTCTACCTCGATGACGACCTCGTCGGCGAGTGGAAGGGCGACCATGAATACATTCTGGGCAAGGCGCCGTCGCAGTACATTGATGGACAGACGGCGACGCGTATCACGTTCAAGGGCGTGCACGTGGAGAATGGAAGCACGCTCCGCATCGTAGGAAAGCCCGACGGGCAGGAGCCGGCGCCGGTGGATTACATCTCCATCCTGCCAGAGGGTACCATAGATTAGGCCTAGTATTCATTTTGCGTTATATAAAGAAAGAGACATTTCGAGAGCCCACCCTTGCTTGATGTGACAATATTCTAAGGCAGGTACTCTATTTGCATGAGTGTGGCATGTCTTCGTCTATGGTGGCTGATGAAGTGGCTGGATTTTTGGGGGGCTTACTAGCGCACCAAGGTACCTAAGGTACCTTACCTAGGTACGCGTTACGGTGGAAAGGACGTGGGTGGGCACGTAAAATTGGTGACATGGCATTCTACCACAAGCACCCACCTCTCAAGCACCTGAACCTTCAGCAACACCGCCAACCCTCAGGCAACGGACTTTTTTTTTTGGTTTCTTTTTTTCGCGCAACATCATGTGTGGCATCCACGCCTCGGTCACGCGTGGTGTCGAGAAAGCGCGCGTCTCGGACGACCTCACGCGATGCCTTGCCTGCCGCGGTCCCGATCATCTTGGGAATTTGCAGGAGACCGTCCTGCGCGAGGGCTCTGCGCCCATCACACTATCCTTCACCTCGACCGTTCTGGCTCTTCGCGGCGACCACGTCACGCCGCAACCGTTTCGGGATGACGTGGGGGGCTCTGTTTTCTGCTGGAACGGCGAGGCGTGGAAGTTTGATGGCGGAGCGCTGGACGGGAACGACGGCGAGCTCGTCTTTGCGCGCTTGGCGGGTGCTAGTGCGACTGCATCATTGTTTGAGGAAAAGATTCTAGGAGTGCTGCGCGCCATCGAAGGGCCTTTTGCCTTTGTGTTCTTCGACAGGGCGTCGTCCAAGGTGTATTACGGGCGCGACCGCCTGGGACGGCGATCTCTTCTTCAGCGACGGGATGCAGGGATGGTTCTGGCCAGTATTGCAGGCGACACAGATCCCAGCTGGTCCGAAGTCGAGGCCGATGGTATCTATGTGTTCGATTTGCAGTCATGGGCCGAGGGTCGGGACGTGGCAGGATCAATCTCTCGCCATCCCTGGTCCAGCAGCTCAGAGAAAGACTTGGTGAGTCGCGACCTCTATGTTGCATCGGCTTCCTGCTACTTACTGGCGTAGGTACTCGACATTGGCGTTTTCAACACGGCTCTACCCTATGGTGAGCCGTCTCCGTTGGTCCCTGGATCCGCAGCTGTGCAGATGCTCCGCCAGCAACTTACAGACTCACTGGCACTGCGTGTTCTGGGCATACCAAACCCATCCCAATCGGGGACAGAACCTGCTATCACGGATGACACGAGGGTCTCTGTACTATTCTCCGGTGGCTTGGACTGCACGGTCCTTGCGCGCCTTGCGAGTGACTTACTCCCGCCCGATCAGGGTATCGACCTCTTGAATGTTGCATTCGAGAACCCTCGTGTGGCCGGTACCCGGCGCAAGGACGCCATCGAAAGTATATACGAGATCTGCCCTGATCGGGTCACGGGCAGAAAGTCTTTCGCCGAGCTCGTCCAGGTGTGTCCGGCAAGGAGGTGGAGATTTGTGGCGGTACGTCATGTCCTTTTAACTCAATCGGTACCCTTGCATGCATCAGAACTGACGACAGGCTGGAGGTTAATGTCCCCTACACCGAGACTCTCGCTCACAGGAGCCAAGTCGTAGCTCTGATGTACCCGCACAGGACGGAGATGGACATTTCAATATCTCTCGCTCTCTACTTCGCAGCGCGCGGCGTCGGCGAAGCTCAGGCCACGCCTTCCAGCGAGCCAGTGCCTTACGCCACACCCGCCAGGGTGCTGCTGTCGGGCCTCGGCGCGGACGAGTTGTTCGGTGGCTATTCCCGACATGCCGTTGCCTTTGAGCGAGGAGGCTACCAGGCTCTGGTTGACGAGCTGAAGCTCGACGTTGGACGCCTCGGCGAGCGCAATTTGGGCCGCGACGACAGGATCATGGCACATTGGGGTCGCGAGGTCCGATTTCCATTCCTGGACGAACGACTTGTCAAGTGGGCTGTTGAGACTCCAGCATGGGGCAAGTGTGACTTTAATCGCCCACAGACCGAGATTATGGTTGAGCCTGCAAAGCGGGTGCTCAGGCTTCTGGCTGAGGAGTTGGGCATGCGGTCCGTGGCACGCGAAAAGAAGCGGGCGGTATGTTTCCTCTTCGTCTGATGTGCAACGTCTGATGTTGCCCCGAAATACAACAACGGCGCAGGCTAACATGGGTGGTCCACGGCAGATTCAATTCGGAGCGAAAACAGCCAAGATGGTCAGTGGGCAGTCCAAGGGCACCGACCTCATCCTGGAGTTTGCTTCTTGAGCATGACGACACGAGCATTAAGGGCTTTGCCAGTGCAGCCTCTCGGAATGATTCGTACCAAGGGACTGGCTGTGATGACCAACAGATACTTCCGAGTCGGTTTGGCTGACAGGGACGTTTCCATGTCGGCAGTTGCGTGTTTCTGTTCGCTCAGTAACCCTTCTCCGTTCTTGGTTCGTTTGTGTTTTGAGACCGCCGACCATGAAGACGTAAAGGCAAGTCTGAGCCAGACCCCCGACGCGGATGCCGAGATTCCGAGGCGCGTTTCTTTCACCGTTACCATGGCAAGCCGCAGTACCTTGCCAGGCTTGCCCAGCTGAAGTGGGATGCGGCTGGGCTTCCTGTGGCTCATCTTACGCAAATTTCTCCGGGAGCCGAGCAGTTCGCGAATGAAAAGACGCCCTGGCCCGGCGACGACGACGAGATGAGAACGGGGGCAATGGGCCAGCTGGGGTGAGGAGGTTGTGTCAAGGGACTGGACGTGTCGCAGGTTGACGATCACGTCAGGCGTGGGCCGTGCAGCAGCATGGGTGTCTGGGGTACGACGCGACGACGCCCACTACAGAAAACATAGACCAAGGAAAATCACATTACCGAACCAATATTGAGCTGCCGGCGCGGTCATTTACGTCTCAGGAACCTTCCAATGCGAACTTGTTGCTTGTGGGCGCATCAACGACGTGGCGAGCGATCCCTCGTTTCGGAGGCGTCCCATCGGCATGGTCGTCTGAAGATGATGGGGGTAGAGTTAATTCCAGCCCCAAGGACGCACGATGACATCCCTGTCCTGCCACGATGCCCCGGCTGCGGCGGGCCCCTACGACTTCGCTACACGATCCCTGCTCATTCAACCTTCGGTGAACCATCGCAAAGCTCCAATCGCAAGTCTCCAGTGATTATGCCACTTGACGCCACGGCGTTCAAACATCCACTTCGCGATGCGTGTGGTCTTGTGGTCGTTGTTATCTTAGCTGAGCCCCATGATGTCTGGCTGTGAAGTGTCCCTCTCTCACTCGAGCCGTCCGGGCAACGCCAGCGACGACCATACAGACAACTGACGCGGCGTCTGCTGGTTCAAACAACTAGGAAGCCTCCACCAGGCTCTTTGACTGTAACTCGCCCCGTCGCCGTCGTCGCCCCATTTCATGCGTCGCTTGCCCCGTGGCTACAAGCGCTGCCGCAGCACCCGAGGTCGCCCGCCGCAGACGTTCCGACGCTGAGCGCCAGATCAGCTCGCCGGACGAGTCCCCGTACGACCTTGACGACGCTCTCGACATCACCGGGCGGGCTTTCAGGATCACCAGACATGATGGAGAGACCAAAACGTCCCCCGCCGCTGGCCCTCGCGCCGCCAAAGAAGCAGGACAAGTCCGTCTATCGCCAGACTATGAGCATCACTCCACCAGCCCCGAAACCTCACCCAGTCCCGCAACAGCAACCCCGTGCACCGTCGAGGCATGCCTCGCGGCATCGCTCCCATCGAGCATCGCCTTCTACGTCATGGATCCATCTCGCCAGCACGATCCTCCACATCCATCTCTGTGCTGTTCTCATCGCCGCACTGGCGACTTTTCTTCACGACCAGCCTGCGGCGGCCACGACACAGATAGGGTGCGTCTTGTCAGGCTTTTGCGTTGAAACCCCCGACTAACACGTGAGCAGACACAACGTCATAGCCGCTCTGATTTTCCTCATCTTCGACACCCTCCTCTCGCTGCTGAGCATTCTCCGTCCCGCCCACGCCGTCACCCTCCTCGTGCGTTCGGGCATCGCCACGTGTCTCCTGGCGGTCTTCATCGCGTTCGCGGCGCATGTGCCTGGGCCGAGGGTCTTCACGCCAGGCTACCACCTCTGGGGCACCGTGTTTGAGACGGGCGACGGGCTCGTCGCGGGCGCGGTATTTGTGATTGCGATGTGGGATTTCGGGAGGGTTGCTTTGCGGTGGCGGGTCTTGCTAGACTGGGTGCACGGCGGGAGGCCACTGACCAGCGGCCGCAGTGGGCGGGGTCAACGAAGCAAGAGTTCAATACGGGAGGGACGATGAAGGAAGTGGTGGTATCAACTGGTGCTGGGCCCCATGTTGAAGAACATAATCTCGAATGACCAAGATGAGTGGCACACCTGCCACAAGAACCATATCCATTTGTGACTACTGGGATATCCTTACTGCGAGTCTAGGCGCAGCCGCATCATGAGGGGGAGCACTGACATGACTATGGGGTATCGCACTCTTCGCCGCATCTATGTCTTCCTCCCACTGCTTTCTCCGTGCTTGCGCTTTGGAGCTCCCATGGACGGTTCCCTCCACCAGCTCCAACTCTGTAGCTGCCTTGACTCCCTCTGCGCTTTCGAGGAGGGCTCGAGACTCGTGCTGCTTGGGTCGGAGCTCGGGGTTGGATGTGCTCTGGTGGACTTGCCGCTTCGCCGTCTTCCTGGTTCTGCCGTCCCAGATTCGAACACCGGCGTCTCCATTCTTGCCTTTCCCTTCGCGTCAGACGTTGGGCTCGTATCTGAAATGTTGTTGCCGTTCGCCTCCTGATGCGCATCTGAGTGCTGTTCGCGGTTTGAGCCACTCCCGTCGCCGCACTGACTTCCGGCTCCAACCACCTGCGTCGGCCGCCGAGCAACCCCGACACTCTACCCAAAGGCCGGCTCCACGGGCCGTCCATTTCGGTCAATCATGAACCCACTGAACGCCTCCTCATCATTCTGTCCCAACAAGATCGGATCAGGTAGCTCGGGCGGCAACTTGCTGTACAGACCAATGCCGGCCTCGGGCCATATACCAGGCAGCGGCTCCTCGTCTGGCTGGTCGGCAATGGTCTCCGTCTCCTGAACCTTGCGAATGGCGGACGTCTTGGGTCGTTTGGTAACAGGCTTTGCCGCCGGTTGACGCACCTTTGGCGGCGCAGGGCGCGGTAGACTGGCTGGCGTTGTGAGGGCCTAAGTACTGGTCAGAAGGTGGGCAGGAGAGAGAACCTAGTGAATGCGCTTACAACTGCCCAGTCTGGGTGGTTAAAGAGGGGGAGGTTCGGGTGTTTTTTGGACATGGAAACGAGGACATCGATGAGAAGCCCGTCTTTGACTGCGTCGCTGAACAGTAACAAATTGATGACGTCCGTCTTTCTGAGGGAGGAAAAGTATGCCCGACGCTATGACAAGTCAGCAACATGACCCAAGCCGAAGAACGAGGAAGCAGGGTAAGCCAGAGGAGACTCGCCGTTTCGCGGTCCGCATCGCCCGCCTTGAAGCCCACGAGCTCTGGTTTTTTAAACGCTGGAAGCTCCGCGAGCCTTGCGTTGCGCAGCTTCTCGACGTCGGCCACACCTCGCGACGAGATCTGATCCTGGTGGAGCTTGTCCAGTCGGTAGGCATCAATGGCCGCCCCTTCCCTCACACACTCTGCACACTTGAAGCGTACCCTGTCGCGGACCGAATCGGCACCGATTTCGGGATCGTGGCAACGCTGATGCCACGACCAATCGCAGACAGGACAGACGATAAGAAGATTTTCGGGTGATTCTTCCGCGGACTCGCACTTATCGCAGCGTCGAGGGCCGTCTTCTTCGGTCCGCTTGTTGCGGAGAAGGGGCTTAGGGACGATACGCGCCGGGCGGTCAGCAGCGAGCGCCGCAGCCGCCGTTGGACCTATCGTCAACGGCGGATCATCGGCTTCGGGAGTCCGTTTCCTCTTAAGACTGGGCGTCGGTGGTCGCAGTGGAGGCAAAGTCCCCTCGGGCATGGATAGCGTAGAAGGCATGGGAGCGCATGCAGCAGTGTTGCGGGCCGCCTTTTGTTCCCGAAGAACGTCTTCGTAGGTGACAGAGAACCAGATAGGAGGATAGGGAGGCGCATGTGATGACTGCGTGTCTTTTTGTCTCTTGACTCGGGCGAGGATGGCGTCTCTCGTAGTAGGAAACTGCGGTCTATAGAGGCGTGGCGCTGCTAATGGCAACTGTGTTGTCATTTGGGGAGAGCCATTCAGCGAAGAAGGTGGCTTGCCGGCCTTTTCTATGACAATCGCCTCTGTTCTTGGAGGATCAATGTCCATCGTGTCAGTTGTTGGGTGAACTGGTTCCGACCCAATGCCCTGTAAGCCCGCCCGCAGACTGGGCAACAGTGAGTGTGACATTTGGCTTAGTCTGCGAAGCTCGACCGCCTAAAAGCTATAAGTTTCATAGACGAACTACCGTTCTGTGATGAAGAATGAAGGATCGGTTGATGTTCGAGGGTTCTCGGATCGCCGTCATAAGATGGTTTAGAATGCCATTGAGAGTGAGCAGGTGTTGTATGGAGCCTGAGCCGTCTTGCGTTCTGACAGCTGTCGTGAAAGATACACTGGTAGATGGATGCCAGTATTAGAGTTACATGCGCGGGTTGAGACAAAGTCTCCCCGAACTAGAACAGTTCTCCTGATGATCAATTGAACCGGAATAACTGTACAGCGTTCGGCGCGATGGTCATGATGAAGTTGTTGATGAGATGATCCAGCAATGGTTCGACGACTGGACCTTCCCAGACAAAACGCGAAGTCACGTGCGGTGACCCACTTGAATTTTGGGCACCTGAGTGAGCCTGCCAGCCAGGTCCCCAGTTTGAGTCGCGATGCGATGGCACGTCTTCGCCGTATCTAAATACTGTGGTTGAACAAATGCAAGCCTGACGAAGAAACGAAATCGTGATGAGGTTGGCGCTATTTTGACGTTGAATATGCTTCACTTCATTTCTACACCCCCGACGAGTTTCACAAGGGAGGTATCACCTTACAACTCCTTCGCTCCGCAACGCTTCAACTCCCTCAGCCGACAACCCCAGCTGTTGGGTCAATACCTCTTCCGTATGCTGCCCAAGAGTTGGCGGCACAGACCGGATCCTCGGCTCGCTCTCCGAGTATTTGACTGGTGTGTTCACCATCTTGATCGTGCCGCAGTGCTCGTGATCCATCTCTACGACCATGTTCCTCGCTTTTGTGTGCTCGTGCTCCATTGTTGCCTGCACGTCATTAACCGCTGCATACGGCATCCCCTTGCCCTCGAACACCTGCAGCCATTCTTCGGTCGTCTTCGTCATTGAGATGCCCTCGATCAAAGCCTCCAGCTCGATGCGATTTGCGACTCTCTGGGCATTGGTAATGTACTTCGGATCGTCTCTCAGCTCCGGCCGACCCAGGCCCTCGCAGAGGATGCCGTAGAGCCGATCGTTGCCACCCCCGAAGAGAATGTCTCCGTCCCGCGTCTTAAACGATCGGTAGGGCACAATTGATGGATGCGCAGTTCCCCAGCGACCCGAGTCCTTCTTCCCACTGATGAGGCAGCTGCTGGCAATGTTGGCCAGCGTCGCCGTCTGGCAATCGCTCAACGAAACATCAATGTGTTGTCCCCTGCCAGTCTTGGCACGGGCCAGCAGTGCGGCCATGATGCTGTTGCTCGTGTACAGGCCCGTCGTCAGGTCCGTCACGGCGACACCGACCTTGACGGGCGGGCCGTCACGGCTGCCGGTGATGTGCATAAGACCAAATTCGGCCTCGACCATGACATCATACCCGGCACGGTTAGAGTAAGGTCCCGTCTGGCCGTAGCCTGTGATCGAAGCGTAAATGAGGGCGGGATTGATGGCCCGTAACGTGTCGTAGTCGAGTTTGTACTTCTTCAGCGTCCCTGGGAGGTAGTTTTCGACGAGAATGTCACAGCTGGCGACCAGCTTGTGGAGGATCTTGATGCCGCTGGGATGCTGGAAGTTGAGGCCCAGGGACTTCTTGTTGCGGTTCACCTGGACACTGTCAGCACAGGGAAAGCCATGACAGTTGTCACCAGACTAATGCTCACGGCAAGAAAGTAAGCCGACTCGCCAGGTCCTTTTCGTGTTGAGCCTTCCTTGTAGGTGGCATAAGGCGGTCCCCAGGCGCGGGTATCATCGCCTCGAGTGGGATGCTCGATCTTGATGACCTCGGCACTGAGATAAAGTCAGAAGCGGGGTCGAGATGAATGTTCACAAGGCAAGCGTACCCTAGGTCACCGAGGATTTGCGTACAATACGGCTACTATTGTTAATGGAAGGCCATATCGAATGTCGGGGAATGTTTCTTACACCAGCAAGAACTCTGGTCATGTCCAGTACACGGTACCCTTCAAGGGGGAGGTTGCTCGTTGGCGCAGAAGACTTCCATCTTCGGCATGGTGCCTGGAAAGACAAATATGACCAGGATTGAGGTCTAAGGCTCACAAGAGTACGTGAGGGTCTTAGAACTGGATTTATCATGCTGCTCGAATTGGGAAAAGCCTTGCATAGACCTGACAGTATGGGAGGTTTGAGGATGTGAGGTGTGTTTCCGCGACAAGAATACGCACACGGTGGCGCAGGGGCTCCAGTCAGATGCGGGGAGACATCCGCGCCGAGGTCCACCTCCACCCACAGTGACATCCCACAGGCCCATGGCGCTACGACTGCAGGCTACATTGTACATTTGAGCATAGATTGTTCGATGAAGTGGAAGTAATCAACTATTACTAGGTATCTACCCACCATGTCGACTTAGCTTAGCTCCCACCACCCAACCATAGCACTTCAGTGCCGCAGCCTCGCGCAGAAGGATCTCGCGTGTGACAGAACGACCACCTCCTCGTTACGATGCTCACCCTTCTTCATGACGCACAGGAAGACGCGATCTCGGCCCCTGGTCGGTCGAACTAGTCAGTCGAACTGAACCAATCAGCACTGCCCGACCGCGAGTTCGACTGTTGACCACGAAGATGACCCAAGATGGGGTCCGGCCGATCATGAAATCCTACGAACCTCAAACCCACCTGCACGTCTGCGATACCTTTCACTCGAGCCTCCAATGAAGCATTATGGCAGTAGAGACCGTAGTCAACACCGATGAGAGCGAATCAATCCTTTGATGCAACACGCACTGGGCCCTCGCTGACTTCTCCCAGTGCTTCCGAGCTATGAGACCGGGGCACTTGGTGAAACGGTGTGCACCTAGCCAATTGCCAAGAAGATACTCGCTTGAGAAGATGCAGCCCTACCGTTGAGATTGATGCGAATAGCACGAGGTAGAGCTGACACCTTGTCATTCACGATCCCCGAACTGTTGTACTTGTATACGAGCTCAGGGCACCCCCGGTTCTGAGCGGGGCTGTCTTTCGGCCGTTCCCAAAATACCCTTTCGCCCCCCCCCCCCCCCCCCCCCAATAACCCTTGTCAAGGATACCAGGCCTAATGGTGCCACCGTGAACGACAGTGAGATCTAGTAACGGGCAATCTGGCGCTGTTGTAGTTGGGAATCCCACCTTTGCGTGTCTTGTCGCTGTTAACGATGAGTACCTGTGTTACCTCGTTCCTCAAACGTCCAGCCGAGGATTCTCTTGAAGCATAGATGGGGGAAATGCATCTGAGAGAAACGTATGCACGGCAGGCAAGACGATAGGTCGCCTACTGGGTCCTCATGCGACGGGCGGGAACAATCCGCCCGGGAGTTCGTGATCCTTTGCGCGCTTGGGGGTGGCTGGCGGTCGTGGCGCGCGATCGAGAACCGGAAATCTCGACGAGCCGATGCCAGATGAGAACGCCAGATCGAGGGACCATTCTGGCGACCTTTGCTACCCGTCATTCGCGGTCAAGGTACTGGGTTGCTGAACACGAAAATGGGCACACCCCCGCCTGGTGCGCCTGCTTCGCCTCGCGGAAGCGGCTACTTTTTGAGGTGATCCTGCGGCCCTCTGCATTGGTCACGAACTCGGCCGACTCAGCGCAGCATTCGATAGGCGGCAAGGAGGGTGAATGCAACGGTCGCCCAATTATAGCACTTCGACTTTGTACGCGGCCTTGGCTACTTGACCACGGTTTGCTCAGCGTGTGCACATCATCACCTTATCGCCCGTTTTAGGCTGCGGCCCGCACTCTTGGCCCTGCATGGCAACATGAAGAACGCGTGGGTAGGAGACTATGAATGCGCCTTCCTTCCGGCACTGGTCCGAGGCAAAGTACCATAAAGCTCAGGGTACCCATTTCTTGATGTAGTTCATGTCTCTGTCTTTTTGAATTGTACGGTCAACAGAGCAGTTTACTAGCAATTTGGTTCCACATATTCGCAATGTCACCTGCGATATACTCAGGACAGAAAGATGACCGCAGGTCAACCGACAACGACTCCCAATCGGACAACAATACCCACACCACAGCTATCCTCATCGCGAGCATTGTCATTGCCGTTGTGGTAATCCTCGGGGTCATTGCTTTCCTCTGTTACAATCGCCGCGGCGGCGAGCGCCAATATCGTGAAGCATGCCAAAAAGACCCTTACCTCACACGCAAAGAGTTTGCCCGTCGGAAAAGGCTGAGCGCCCTGGAACGCATCGAGGAAGATGAGATGCAGCGCAGCGTCATGATTCGAAAATCCTTGACGAGCCGCTCGTCCAACTATCCTGTTGACAATTCGGACAACGACTCGGCTCTCAACCAAGCAATGGTGCAAGTTCCGCACTCCAACCTCAGCGGCAACAGCGATTGGGCGCCGAGCTCCCGTCGCGGCCGGGCAGTGTCAAACCAAGAGCCGCATCGAGGGGGTGAGGTCGATGTCAGGCTGGAGCCGGGCTCGAGGTCACGGTCGCCATCGCCGTCGACGAATCCGCTTTTGTGCAGTGTCGAAAGATCCAATAGCCAGCCACCGCACCCCGATGAGTTTGGTCGACCGTACCATGGGCTACCGTCAATGCTGCATCGGCCACCAAGCTTTGAGGTTGCAACCCGTGAGGGTGCTCCGATGCCGATCAGTGGGAGGGCTCAGAACAGTACGCGTCGCAACAGCCCTGAGAAAGTTTGGTTTACCAGGGGTTGAATAGACACGGGAGTGTTCATCAGGATCAGAATCAGGATAGAGGGAGTGCATCTAACAAGAACCTTGAGGCAAGGTACAGGGCTGGGGGGCATCTACTGGGAGCGCATCATGTACAGGATACCCAGACAGTGTTTTTTTCGGCGTTTTGGCTTGCTTTGTCTTTTGGGGTGTGGCTTCACGGGGAACAGTACAATGACATTCCAATGGATGGATGCTGCGGCATTCGCATTGCGTTCTCATCACGAAGTTACGATACTTTTAGTTGCCCTGACTGTGAATAGCCCAGAATCACCTTCTGGCGACCGCAAGGCTTACCAAGCGTCGGTGGCGCACCTCACGTGATGAGATGGCTGATGCTGAGTAAGGCTCAAACTCGACGCCTGCCTGGGTTTGCGCCGTCGACAAGAGCACAGGCGAGGATCCGAAACAGGGCGTCGATTTCCTTCCTCCTACATCCCTCTCAAGTCCTTCGCTCGCCGCACCCAGATCGTCCTCCCTCGCCGTCAAGACACGAAATTCCTACTGATTTCACCATCTTGCGATCGTCTGAAGACTTGAAGCCGACTGTTTCGTTGATCTGGGGTCCGCGCCATCTCAGACGCCTTTACTGGTCCAGAAATCGGTCGGCTTTTCTGCCTTGCCCGCCTTGCGAAAAGACTCTTCCCTCGACTCTCCAACCTCGAATCACAGCGACAACTATTGACCTGCACTCTCGTTGACCTCGCTGCCGTTGACCGGGCCACCTTTGGTTCTTTTCTTTTCTACTGTGAGCAGGACAGCCTCCTGCAACAAGTAAGAAAGGCATGCTTACAATCTTGACACAGGGATCCAGCCGATTGCCGCTGTCATCCAAGAACCATCACATTCACTGTAAACGAAAGCCGCATTCCTCCGTGAACTTTTAGGGTAGATTCCCCGCAGCGCTCTGATTCCAGCGATCGATCTACCCTCTGAATAAAGCCTCCCGAGACAGAGAGAGAAACTTCCCAGACTCCTACACTTCTCAATCTCCTCTATCGCGAGCCTTCCTTCCTGGGCTTTGCCTGCCCTTGCCTACCAACACCGCCAAGCTGCATTCGCCGCTCTTTGTCCAACTCTCCACCGACCGCGTCTGGCACCAGGATATCACATCGGAGAAGAATCCCAGAGTCTACAGGACTGTCCTTAACAAGCGACAGGAACTCCGGCGACGCAAGAAGGAAGCGAAGCGACGCAGAAAAATTTTCGACCAGAAAAACTCTATATATACGCCCAAGCCATACACAAGCAAGATGCTGAATCCCGCCGGAGCGCCAGCTCTAGACGAGCATGGTAACGCCATCGGCGACTTCAAGCAGGACCTCAACATCATTGTAGAGTGTCCTGACTGCCGCGAGCAGCCTCCCAATCTAGTGGAGGAGTTCTCTTCCGGCGACATGGTCTGTGGTTCTTGCGGCCTCGTTGTGGGTGAGCGCATCATTGACACGCGCTCTGAATGGCGTACGTTCGCCAATGACGACCAGGGCAACGACGACCCCTCTCGTGTCGGTGACGCTGGCAACCCTCTGCTCGACGGTGCCCAGCTCGAGACGAGCATTGCCTTTTCTGAGGGCAGGGATCACAAGAACCTTGCGCGCATCCAGAACAAGTCGCAAACAGATAAGAACACCAAGGCCATCGGTTCCGCTTTCCGCGAGATCAGCGCCTTTACCGACAGCATCAATTTGGGAAAGAACGTGGCAGACGGTGCCAAGCACATCTACAAACTTTGCCACGACCACAGCTTTATGAAGGGGAAACCCCAGGAAGCCCTCGTGGCCGGCTGCATCTTCATCGCATGCCGTCAGGCAGGTGTTGGTCGCACGTTCCGAGAAATCTACCAAGTTACCAACGTCTCTAAGAAGGAGATCGGAAGAGTCTTTAAAGCTTTGGAGTCATTCCTACAGAAGATTAAGGAGACCAACCCTGGCGGCAATGCCATTCAAGACCTCAGCGGCTACAAGGCCTCGACGTCGACCAACGCCGGAGATCTCTGCACTCGTTTCACCTCACAGCTGCCATTCAGGCAGTCGCAGAAGATTGAGAACGTGTCGCGCGCTCTCGCTCGTAAGACGGTCAGCGTGTCGGAACTTGCGGGTCGTTCGCCACTGTCTGTCTCTGCGGCCTGCATCTACATGGCATCACACCTTATGGAGGAGCCTAAGACGTCCAAGGACATTGCAGCGGTAGCCGGCGTTAGCGACGGCACTATCAAGACAGCGTACAAGTTCTTGTACCAAGCTCGTGAGCGTCTCATCGAGAAGGAGTGGGGCGTAAGTCAGAAGGCCATTGACAGCCTGCCGGTGAACTAGAAGATCACAGGCATGGAGCCTCTACAGCACAAGACTTCATCCACGGCTTGTGCCATGTTGACTCCCATGGCGACGCCCGTGTCAATTCCGAAATACAGATGCTTGGAGAAGCTTGCTGATGCAAGCGGTTTGTCGCTGACGGACGAGGCAGTGCAGTTTGAGCGACTTACCACTCCCGTCATCGAGTCAAACTGAATACGAACTTGATTACAACCTGTGTTTCAGGTAGCGGGCGGTCAACAGAGGCACAGCTTCTGGTGGGCATTGAGGGGTCCGGGGGCTTTTTTTATTTCGCGATCAAACATTGGTAATGCGAACGCACAGCTGCCGATTGCGCACCGCCTGAGATGGCGGTTTGGCCTGCTTCTGAAAGATGAGCAGGTTCGCAACATGGGCTCGGAGCCATAGCGAGGGCGTGGTTAGGACCAGCGAGATTGCCATGCGGTCCAGGCATCCTCAGCAGAAGCTAGGCAGTAACGCATATCAGCTTGACTTCAGATGCTTTTGTAGTGCCGTGTCGTCCTGATTGCCTGTTGGTGCTAGAGACTTTGGTTGCTGAGCTACGTGCTGGAGCTACGCCTTGTGAAAGCTGCGCGATGCCTTGAGGTTCCATGCCCAACCACCCTTCGTCCTGCGTCGTTGGTGCGCGCTGGCTGTTCTTCTGGCACGGCAAGCTCTGTTATGAAGCATATTCGTTCCACATCTTCCAGTAGAAAAAGAGGCGAAACCCACGCGATTACCAAGACGCATCCGTCGGGTTCCATTAGACGAGCTGAAATGAAACCACTTGAGCTTGAAATCAACGGTATCGGGGGAACTTCGTGGACATGACTCGTGCGTGGCTTGTATGCGGCAAGATGTTTAGCCCGACTGTCGCCAACGACGCCCCCAATAGTGCTGGTTGACCGGGTCTCGGTGAAGCGGTCCGCGGTCTTCGAAGTCCGGAAATGTGGGCCGGGTCGGAGCATCGAGGCATGAAGTCGCCGGGGATGTGATCTTGAAGTAAGCTCATCTTGTGCTTACAGAGCCGGCATGCATGTGCTGCCCAGACGGTAGAGACAACTCAATTGCAGTGAATATGCATGCTTAAATATCCCATGCGCAGAGACTCAGGAATTGCTGAGGTCTCCAAATCATCAATTTCTTCAACTCCTTACCAAGCTAGCTACCCTTATCGAGTTACTTGGCCCGTCGCAGCAGCACAATGACATCCGAGCAGATCACCATTGCCTTCATTGGCGGAGCGGGTACTACTTTGAGTCACATCATTGCACTGTCGCTCAAGACAGGCCATCGAATTGTCGCCCGTACGGTTCAGATCATCACCTCCAAGGAAGGCTTGTGCTAATGTATCGCCAGTCGCTCGGACCCCCTCCAAGCTATTTTCCGCCCTGGAGGATACTCACAACATTCCCAAACCAACACTGGAGTCGAATGTCACCGCTGTTCAAGGCTCTGCGCGCGACCTCGGCGCTCTGAAAGATCTGCTCCGCTACAACCCAAAGTTCATCGTCACCGGTCTCACCAGTCTGCCGGATTTCCACCTCAACCCCTTCCGGCCCGTGACAATGCAGGACCCGACACTTATAGGCGACTCTGCGGCCCTGGTCTTGCGCGCGCTGCACGAGCTCAAGGATGAAGGCGCCCTGTCGAGCGCCCCGCTCTTCGTTCCCATCTCGTCTACTGGAATATCCGTCCAGCGCGACCTCCCGCTCATCATGCGCCCGGTGTATGACTGGCTCCTACCCGAGGCGATTGCTGACACGAAGGACATGGAGACTGTCATTTCGAAGGATGTTCTGGGCGGAAAGTCGGCGTTGGGCGGCTACGTCTTTGTCCGAGCCCCGCTGTTGACTGGCAACCCTGGCAAGGGGCTTGAAAAAGTACGCGTTGGTTGGGTTAGGTATGATTCGGACGGTCAGGGAGAGAAGGGCCCAGGGCCGGCTGTTGGGTATACGATCTCAAGGGCCGATCTGGCGGAATGGATCTTTGAGGAGGTCATCCAGGCAAGGAGAGAGTGGACTGGAAAATGCGTCACGCTGGCTTACTAGAGCCCTGCCTGCAGGGTGCAGTGGAAAGACATGGGCCCGTATCTGTCTGGAGGGATTCTTTATCAGGAAGTAGCTTGTATGGCTCTTTACGCAATTTGAATGAAAGTAAGTGATCAATCATATTCCTACATACCCTGAATGAAGTACACGATTTGCGTGCTACTTTCTCGTCCTCGTAGATTCATATCGTGCTCACTCCACGTTGGAGATCTTGAAGCCGCCGCTGACTCGGGTCTGAAAGAACCCGGACGGGTCATACTCCTGGGCAACCTCTTTGATGAAGGCAACATTCTCGGGCCCGTATGACTTGAGAGGATCCTGTGTCGGGTTGACATAATTCAGGTAACGCCATTGCGTGTTGGCACCGATTGACTGTGCGTACGCCTCTAGTTGAGCACTAACAACAGCCAATTTGCTCTGGAAGAGTGCTTCGATGGCATGAGTGTTAATGAAAGCCTCTCCTAGCCAAATTATCGAATCCTCGGCGAGTGTCTTGTCTAGACCGAGAACGTTACCTCCCGCATTGGCCTGGCCGTAATGCTTAGGCAAAGGTTGGAAGACAAAGATGATGGTCAGATCTTCGTCGGGGATGACACTGTTGATCTCAGCTGTGAGCTTGGTGAAAAGCTCTTCAGCTTTGTCAATGACGCGCCTGTCATTATGGAAGCAAAGCGAGAACCACACGTATCTGTCACCATCAGTCGGTCATTCCCCCCCTTGGAGTCCATGGATTAGACAACGGTGCTCACCTTTGGCCGCCGTCGTCAGCCATGCCACTGACCAGCTCCCCGTAGGTCTGAGTCTGTCTCAAATCAATGATAGAAGGCATTCCTCTGAGAGCGTCGAAGACTGGTGCACTCGCGTTCCCATCGGTGTTGACGGCAATTGTCCCGACCATGGGCTGAGGAAAACCAGCCTTGTGCTGGAATAGCACGATCTGGCTGTCTGCCGGGTGGTTCTTGTTGGTTGCGATGACGTCCACGAAACCATCAACAATCTTGTCCTTCTGATCCCAAGTGGTGAAGAAAATACCACCATGCAGGTCTCCAGCGGGGAAGGCCGCCATGTCGAAACGCGTCACGATGCCAAAATTGCTGCTCCCGCCTTTCAGGGCTTTGAACAGCCTCGGGTTCACCCTCTGGTTAGCATTGACGATGCTGCCGTCCGCCAGAACCACCTCATAGTTAACAACGTCGTCGCAGGCAAAGCCGCGGCGACCAGAGTGAAACGACGCTCCACCACCCAAGGTCAGACCAGCCACACCGACGCTGCTCACACGGCCGCCCGTGATGCTCAGCCCGTGCTTCTCTGCCTCGAACAGGGCCGGGCCCCATCTTGAGCCAGCGCCAATGGAAGCAACAGCCGTTCCATCGGAGCAAGTAGAGTTGTGCACCGTCGTCGTGTTCAAGAGGCTGAGGTCGATAGTGACACCTTGAGCGATGTTATTGTTATTCCAGTGGCTGTGGCCGCCGCCACGAACGGCGATGCTCCACTGGCCGGCACCGGTAAGAGGATAGAGGGCCCTGATTGCAGCCGAAACGTCCTGAGTATTTGCTGGCTGAAGAATACACCATGGGGTAATCTCTCGAATAGTAAGGCTGTAATAAGAGCCCAGGCTGCGACTATAGCCATCTCCAGGGCCAGACGCGAGGAGCAACTTGTCGCCAAGGCCAGCATCGATCAACGCATCGCACTGATGATCAAATTAGCGCCGGATACGAAAACACAAAAACAGCCAGAACGTACGCTCTTGAACCCGGTTCGTTGACCGTCTACCAGTCCAACACAATCAAAGGCGGCAGCAAGGTCGATCAGACGAACCATGGTCACAGGTAAGACTCTGTGCTGCGTAAGAGAATCAGGATACTGCTCAGGTGCGATTCATCCTCTACCAGTGTGCTCAGGGAAGGTATGGCTCTCTTAAACAACCCATCAGCTACATCGTTTCCGGTGTCTTTGGTCATTTTAAACCACTCCGGTGCTGCTAGGGAAGACCAATGTGGTGAGGTCATGGTGCCTTGGCCGATCGATGCTGACAGGGAATACCGACATTGAAGATAGGATTCCTCCAAGGTACCGTCTGGGATGACAATCCTTGCCCACATTGGCCGCCTCACCTTTCAGCCTGCCAGGGTTGGCAAGAGTCGATGCACGTCTGGAATATAGCATACACTTCAGTTAGGTGGCGACGAAATACCCTAATCTCGGAAGCAGGAGCAAGTAGTGCGGGTGTTCCTTGAGGCTACAGGGAAATTGCACTGCAAACCCCTGGGGAGACTTAGCAACTGGGTCTACGGTTGTTTGGCGTGGGTTAAACAGGTCTCAAAGGCACCTCGAAGGCACAGCCAAGAGTTCTTGCATATAGCCGACCTTGGCTGCAGTGGCGTGATACTCCTGCTTGTGATTTCGCGCGGGTTTTGCGATATTGAGCACGAGAAGATTATTAGAACGTGATGGTACGACTTTTAATGTATGCCCAGACACACAGCATCGTCTGGGAGATTTAGTACCTTACACCAGATCTCAGATCCTCATCGCTCGTTGTTTGCTACTTCTCCACCTGTAGAGTTGTAGCCGACAACTACGGCATGTGGGAGGCGCTTGATATTTAGAAGTCAGGAGTTCAAAGATGAGATTTGTGACTTCCCTACAACATCTGTTTCGGAATGTCGCATCAACTAAGTGGTGACCAAAGTGCCTTGCTGGGCATGTCTTGAGGACAGAGTTAAACACTCAGCAAACCGAGCCCGAAACTGCACAAGATAATGCTTCCCTACCGCGTGCAGTATCATAGGAAAACGATGCAAAAGGCAAAACTTGGTGACGATCAGTTTTTTCTCAACGCATGCTACAGCACCTAAGACTAGGATCCAGGAGCGTTGGCTTCAATAGTGACAATGACCAGCGCACCATCGAGCTACAACTACGCCAGTCACGCACATCGCGCATCGTGATCCGGTCCTTCGAGGCTCGTGAAGGGACCTTGACGTCATTCGTTGCACCCCACAATTCCACATGCGAAGCCGGTGAGACTAGAACAAATTGGTAGATCAGGCGCGTGAATGAGCAATCCGTTTCACTTCATTGGCAGCCCTACGCGACCGGCTGATAAATCGAGAGCGGGGAGTGTCGAATGCACGTTGATCAGCAGCCACCTCCCCAGAGAAGGATATAAAGTGTATCGCGCTTCTCGCTGCCCAAGAAGGGCTTGATGTGCCTTGGGACGAAGAAGCACCCAGGTCTTTGGCGGCTAGGGAATACTTCTAGTACCTCTCAGCCCCTCTTTAGGTCGAGCATCATGTCGGCAAAGTCAATACGCATCTCTCCCGAAAACACGGGTCTATGGGAGGTTCAACAGACCAGCGAGGCGGCTGCCAAGGCAAGCGAGCTGTTGAACCATGACCTAGAGGTAGGCTGCTTCGCGCGTTCGATGTGGACGGCGCTGCCTTGATCGCCGGGTTGACGAGACGGGCTATTATTAGAACCACCACGTTTTCCTCAACAATAAGGGATTTCACGACCATGTGAGTTGGACGCCGTTCCGGCGATGCCTGCGCATCGCGTGTTGATAGCTCTGCCAGATGCCTCACCACATCCTGGCTCTGTACGGCACCGGCGCCAGCGTCGGGCAACTCGAGAGGGCGTATTCGCTCCGGGACTCGCTACAGCGCGCAGTCGAGCCGCGCCACGGCGATATCGCATCCGCGCTGGCCGCATCGTGGGACAATGCCACACCCTATCTCGGGCGTGATGAATACTACCCCGACTTTCTGGCCCATTTCCAGCAGGTCATCGATGACAAGGGCTACGAAGCCGTCGTCAACGAGTACCTCTTCCAGGGAGACGCGCACGCCAATGATCTCCTCATCCGTCTCCACGCCGGCGTCCTGCACTCGCTGCTCCAGCTCATGTTCGCGCTGGAATGGAAGCAGCCCGCCATCGTCGCGGAGGCCTTGGCCCAGACCTGCGTGCACCAGCGCGACGGTCTCGACGGCCTGCTGCTCGAGAGCGAGCGCCGAGCGCGGCACGTGTCGCAACCCGCCAAAATGCCGACGCTGCTCTCCCTGTTCCAGGGCCTCAGGGCCGACCCTCAGCTTCGGCGCGCGGCTCGCTTCACGGACAGCAACAAGATTCGCGACGGCATTCTACAGCGAGCGGAAGAGGCCATGCTTACGGCATTGGCGCAGGTGCACGTGGGAGAAGACGAAGTGGAGGAGAGGACGGCGGAGATGCTGCACACGATCATCTATGTCGCGTCGAGCGCCGCCATTCACCCGCCGCACTACGTGAAATACGACTTTTTTCTCATGTACGTGGTCGCGAGGCGTAAACCTAGTCAGGCCCGGGGAAAATGACTGGGCCGCTAACGTCACGGACAGGCACCATGTCAACTCGGCCATCTTTTACCTGACGATCAACAAGCAGTCATGGATCTCGCCGACCAATAAAGCGCGGCTGCTCGAGTGGAAGATCAGGATGGACTTTCTCGAGTATGTAGCGCGAGGCTGTCCAGAGATTTCCCTCGAGGGTATCGTTTCTTACCAGTCCAAGAGACCAATCGAAGGGTCTGTACGAGGTGAGTGTCGATCTCGATGAGGGGAGCATGTGCGAAGTTGCGATGCTTTATTTCCAGCTGTGCGTCTCTGGCTGACACGGGCCATCCGCTTCTAGCGATTGGGCTGCTGCTCCAGGACTTTGGCGACGACGGACACGCCATCAAGCAGGCGCGCGTCAATGCTCTGTGCCACGAATTGATGAGCAAGTATGACGGTAAGCCGTGGGCCGTTCTGAAGGGGGACGACATCTGGCGCAAGATCCAAGCCATGACGGTCGACGCGGTGGAGGGCCCCGGCGTGCTGTACGTCAGATCCGGGGGCTTTGAAGAGGTGTGGCAGGTAAGAGGAGCTGCTTCCTAGTATGCGAGTGTATGGATGCTCTGCGCATGCTGACATTGGCGACCGATAGGATGTGCCGCTACAGTCTGCACCAAGGAGAAACTCGGATGCGCTGAGGGCGTTGCAGGCCGGCAGTGGTGCGTCGCCTGAGGCGCTGGCGACAAGCTGAGGTCGGAGGAAAGATGTGGTTCCGATCGTGGACAGGTTTCTGTAGAAGAATCAGGCACCAGAGGCCATATCCAGACGTGATTCGGATCTGATGGAAAGAGATGTGCCATCAACCGTAGATGCGCATGAATCCGGGGAGGGCCGCCATGAGAAGCATTCAATCATAACGACGCTGTATATCTGATATCGGATCCTCTGGATGAGAGGTGGTCATGTTCATTGAAGGGTCGTGGTGTTCTGGATACACAGTGCTCAAATAGTGGTTATTCAGACTGTAGAGAACGTCACGTGCGGGCCCGGAAATCCGTGGCGCAGAGGAAGGAACCACCAAACGCGACCGCGACCAGGCTGAGATGGTCCACGGCCGCTCCATGATCGCGAATCCTTATGACCACCCCCGGCCAAGCATCTGCCATTGAGCCCGCCCACAATCCGTCCGCCTCATCTGCTACCACTGCAAGCATCACATCAACGACGCACGCACAGGCTGTGCTTCAGCAGCGATGGGTCGAAGATCCGGTCGCGCCGCCGCTAGACGCGCATCGGCTGCCCTTCGTGAGCCTCCCTCGTCCCCTCCCCACATGGCGCATGGCAACATGGATTTGCATGCATGCTGACATGATGCCTTCACAGAGAGTACACCACGCGCATTTGAGGGCATCGAGGATGATGAACCCATGCCTGATATTCCCGATGAGCCAGCATCCGAACCCGATGAGCCTCCCGAACCCGAGGCCGAAGATGACGACGACGATGAGCAGGAGAAGGCCGACGATTCGAACAACGATGACGCCGACCAGGAGGAAGCCGCCGGCGAGCCTGACGCCGAAGACACAGAACCCTCTGTCAAGGAACCCACACCGCCGCCCGTGGCCACAGTCCGCCGCAAGCGCCTCGGCCGTCCTCCGAAGAACCGCCCGCCCGACTGGGACCCCATGATCACGGTGCCCGCCTCCGAGGCCGACACGCCGCGCCGTCGCGGTCGTGGCGGCTGGCGCGGGCGCGGCGGTCGCAAGCCTGGTCCCGGCCAGGCGCCGCTGAAGCTGCGCCAGGCCATCGACAAGGAGGGCACCGAGGTCGACATTGTCAACGACGAGTGCGTCCTGCCCGAGGACCCCGACGGCGAGACAAAGGTCGACAAGTCGGGCAACCTGCTCGGTGACCGCGAGTACCGCTGCCGCACCTTTACCGTCCTCGGACGCGGCACCCGCCTCTACATGCTGTCGACCGAGCCCGCCCGTTGCGTCGGCTTCCGCGACTCGTACCTCTTCTTCACCAAGCACCTCAAGCTGCACAAGATCATCGTCGACGACGAGGAGAAGCGCGACATGATTGATCGCGAGATCATCCCGCACTCGTACAAGGGCCGGTCGATAGGAATCGTTACTGCCCGTTCCGTCTTCCGCGAATTTGGTGCGCGCATCGTCGTCGGTGGCCGCCGCGTCCTCGATGACTACCGTGTCGCCGACGCCCGTGAGGAGGAGGGCGTCACCGAGGGCGACCTCGCCGACCCCAACGACATGTACAACCCCGCCGAGCCGTACAACAAGAACCAGTACGTCGCCTGGCACGGCGCCAGCTCTGTCTACCACCAAAACGCCCCCACGGCAGCCGACCCCATCGTCGGCAAGGTCGAGGTCAAGAAGCGCCGCGTCAACGTCAACAACACCAACTGGATGCTCGAGCACGCGCGCGAAGCCAGGTATGTTCTCGGCGGGCCCAATCCTTGTCGGGCACGATTCTTGTCGGGCACAATCTGCA